CAAGTGTATGACTCTACTCTTCTTATCAAGTGTATGACTCTACTCTTCTTATCAAGTAAATGACTCTACTCTTCTTATCAAGTATATGACTCTACTCATCTTATCAAGTGTACGACTCTACTCTTCTCATCAAGTATATGACTCTACTCTTCTCATCAAGTGTATGACTACTCTTCTTATCAGGTGTGTGACTCTACTCTTCTTATCAAGTGTGTGACTACTCTTCTTATCAAGTGTATGACTCTACTCTTCTTATCAAGTTATGACTCTACTCTTCTTATCAAGTGTATGACTCTACTCTTATTAAGTGTAAGACTTTACTCTTCTTATCAAGTTTATGACTCTACTCTTCTTATCAAGTATATGACTCTACTCTTATTAAGTGTAAGACTTTACTCTTCTTATCAAGTTTATGACTCTACTCTTCTTATCAAGTATATGACTCTACTCTTCTTATCAAGTATATGACTCTACTCTTCTTATCAAGTATATGACTCTACTCTTCTTATCAAGTATATGACTCTACTCTTCTTATCAAGTATATGACTCTACTCTTCTTATCAAGTATATGACTCTACTCTTCTTATCAAGTATATGACTCTACTCTTCTTATCAAGTATATGACTCTACTCTTCTTATCAAGTATATGACTCTACTCTTCTTATCAAGTATATGACTCTACTCTTCTTATCAAGTGTATGACTACTCTTCTTATCAAGTATATGACTCTACTCTTCTTATCAAGTGTATGACTCTACTCTTCTTATCAAGTATGTGACTCAACTCTTCTTATCAAGTGTGTGACTCTACTCTTCTTATCAAGTATATGACTCTACTCTTCTTATCAAGTATATGACTACTCTTCTTATCAAGTATATGACTCTCCTCTTCTTATCAAGTGTATGACTACTCTTCTTATCAAGTGTATGACTCTACTCTTCTTATCAAGTGTATGACTCTACTCTTCTTATCAAGTATATGACTCTACTCTTCTTATCAAGTATATGACTCTACTCTTCTTATCAAGTATATAACTCTACTCTTCTTATCAAGTATATGACTCTACTCTTCTTATCAAGTATATGACTCTACTCTTCTTATCAAGTATATGACTCTACTCTTCTTATCAAGTATATGACTCTACTCTTCTTATCAAGTGTATGACTCTACTCTTCTTATCAAGTGTATGACTCTACTCTTCTTATCAAGTATGTGACTCAACTCTTCTTATCAAGTGTGTGACTCTACTCTTCTTATCAAGTATATGACTCTACTCTTCTTATTAAGTATATGACTCTACTCTTCTTATCAAGTATATGACTCTACTCTTCTTATCAAGTGTGTGACTCTACTCTTCTTATCAAGTATACGACTCTACTCTTCTCATCAAGTGTACGACTCTACTCTTCTTATCAAGTGTACGACTCTACTCTTCTTATCAAGTGTACGACTCTACTCTTCTTATCAAGTGTACGACTCTACTCTTCTTATCAAGTGTATGACTCTACTCTTCTTATCAAGTTATGACTCTACTCTTCTTATCAAGTTATGACTCTACTCCTCTTATCAAGTGTATGACTCTACTCTTCTTATCAAGTATATGACTCTACTCTTCTTATCAAGTATATGACTCTACTCTTCTTATCAAGTGTACGACTACTCTTCTTATCAAGTGTATGACTCTACTCTTCTTATCAAGTGTGTGACTCTACTCTTCTTATCAAGTGTATGACTCTACTCTTCTTATCAAGTGTGTGACTCTACTCTTCTTATCAATTATATGACTCTACTCTTCTTATCAAGTGTATGACAACTCTTCTTATCAAGTGTGTGACTCTACTCTTCTTATCAAGTATATGACTCTACTCTTCTTATCAAGTGTATGACTCTACTCTTCTTATCAAGTGTATGACTCTACTCTTCTTATCAAGTGTATGACTCTACTCTTCTTATCAATTATATGACTCTACTCTTCTTATCAAGTGTGTGACTCTACTCTTCTTATCAATTATATGACTCTACTCTTCTTATCAAGTGTATGACAACTCTTCTTATCAAGTGTGTGACTCTACTCTTCTTATCAAGTATATGACTCTACTCTTCTTATCAAGTGTATGTCTGTACTCGTGTTCTGTACACTATCTGTCCGCCTGCTGTTGAGTGCATGTTTCTCGTGTGTCTGCTGATGAAGCGTCGGCCCTGAGGGGCTCCTGAGGGCCTCCGTGTGTCCGAGCTCCTCGCCTTCTTATATGTACATGACTCTCTATTAGTCTCTCAGTTCGTTCTCTCCGCTCTGAGTTCAGATGAGCGAGCATCAGGGGCCGCTATGTTAGTTATTCAGTTCTTTATCACAGGGCCCTCAGACCGGCACACAGGGGACTTTCTGCAGGGAGCCAATGAATGGGGAAAAAAGGACAGAAAATAAAAATATATATACAAAAACAAAATGAATGTTATGAAATATGAGCAGAAAGAGTGAGTAAATCACTTGTTTTTCTAATGTAGAGCAGCACTGTCCAACAGCGACACCAGCAGATGACGTTCCAGAGAGAGAGACACTCATTTCTCAATGTGACTTGATCAACCCATTGTGAACTGAGGGATATAATTATATCAAACAAAACAAAAATCTATTTTTACATCTATTACACAAGATGTTTATATTGAGTAGTTTTGGAGAAAATGTTATGTTTCAGGTGCCTTATTTTATATATTGCATAGAAACCCTCTTACATTTGATCTTGTGATGGCATGTTTATCGTTCCTCGCTATCTTTAATGGAAGAAATGGTCACCCGGCCGCTGCAGTTCACTTAACCCATGGACAATATTACTTCTGCCATCGCTTTACTGTCACTTTTGATCAGTTTAATGAGTCCTTGCTAAATAAAATGATTCCTAATCATAAATACAGTGTATGTTCACAATCACAGTTTAAATAACTTAAAGAATGATTTAAGTGTTTAACTCCATTAATGAGAATGGCATGTTTAATCTAAATGTTTATATCAGAAGCAAAAGATAGTTTAAATCATTCTTTTAGTTATTTAAACTGTGATTGTGAACATTTCAATAAATAGAAGTATTTGTTGTGGATGCGATGCTTTTGAACACATTTCCTGTGGCATGCTGTTTTAATGTTTTAACTACAGAAAGGATTGCTTATGATAATAGCAGATTGACTGAGAAAATAGTTTCATGCAAATAATGCACAAGACCTATCCATTAAAATATAATCTATTAAAAATACTATTTGGCCAGTGGAAAAGATTGAGAATAACTTTCTCTGAAATGTATTTTACATTTTTTGATTTATTTATTCCAAAACAAGGCAAGGAAAGGCTACTAAATGATTTTTTTTAATGTAAGTAATGACGCACATCCGTGTCTCATATTCTCCTAATGTCTGGTACCGTTAAACATGTTATCACGTGGATGAATAATCATATGCTAATGATATGCAGATGAGGATATGCATATATGTTTCGGGGAGGAGACGCATGTGAACACACTCTTCCGCTGACTGGGGTTATAAAGGGAATTCTGCCATTCAATCAGGTATAAACATTAACTTTTAATATCAATACGTTTCACACATTACAAAGAATAAATGTCTGCATTTATGATTTGTAAAGATGTTTTTCACCAGTATTTTTAAGACTGCTCCTTCCCCGACACCTTGTGGGACATCATACATTTACAACAATAATGTCTTAGTCTAAACCTGAAGTAGTCTTGACTAACTGTATATATATATATATATCTCATTTGAAAGCTTTCAGACTCTAGTATTCATATTTGGAGGCTGATTTTCAAAAGAAATGACAGAACAATAGATAAATGGCGATAGATTCTTCATTTGTGATGTGGAGGCAAACTATAACACGGTCCGACTCTTTCTGTATGTTCTTAAAAAAACGCATGGAAATACATGAATACCAGATCAGTGAGGTGTGGAAATGGACGAGTCCCTCATCTGGAGTCTGGAGTCATCTAGTGGGAAAGAGTGGGACTGCACACACACACACACACACACTCTACACATCACCCTGAACACTGGCACAGGACTTCACATATTCAGCTTTAATTCTCTTGAAGTTTTAGAGAGTTGAACATATTTTGCAAACTATACTGTATATAAAATATATACTTTACATTTTCATAAACTTAAGACTTCTGTAATTTTAAAAAACTTTATTCTACAATAATCGTGGTGTTCCTTTAATAAGACACCAAACTTAAGACTGCACTCTGACCTCTCCAACTTAAATGTTTAAATGCTTCATTTTCAAGTCTATATGCTCAATAACAGACAGTTAACCGGTAAAACAACTCTATTTTAACAAACTTTGAAACCAAAAAGTTGATAAACTCCGCAAGACAGTGGCACTTCAGGACTAGAGTTGGAGAGCTCGGACACATAACCACGACTTTAGTATTCTGGGTCTGTACATCTGCTTTGGTCTATACGGGTCACACTGACATCATTTCACACACATCAGCAGGTGGACACTTGGCATGCATGTTCATGACCCTAAATCAGAAAACTCACAATTTCAACAGGTTTAATTGCATTTCAGAGAGATTGAATAAAGAAATGATTAACTTTTACCATATGTGGCTGACAAAATATTGTTCTGTATTGAAATAAGTGGGGGAAAGCTCCTTTAAGCTTCATAGGGTAGTAAAAAACTAAAATAACAAAACATAAAAAAGAAATGTTATTTTGGGTCTATACACTTGCCTGAGAACATATGCGGGTCAAATTGTGAACATAACGAACATTACAGTAATTTTGTGTGCAAAAACTACTTTGCATTGCATGAACATGACCCAAAATGAGAAAAAGACAATTTTAAAAACCATTAAAAACTCAAAAAACCGACAAACTCAAAATCAAAGGGGTCAAACTGACCCGCAACGGATCATAAGGGTGACCTGAACCCACTTCCTGTCCAGCAGTGTCATCTAGTTGTGACAAAGGCAAACTGCAAACACAAGTGGGTTTGAGAACCAAGATTTATTGAAATTTACAAAAGGCTTCATTGACTTTTTCACAACTTCAAATAGCGACAGTAAAAGGCAGTATCAGTGAGCACACACACACACACACTCTCACACAGCAGGGGCGTCACCTGCGCGAGGAGCGGGCCTCCAGGATCTGCACCACCAGCCGGTTCTTCAGCGAGCGCAGCTTCCGGCTGTAGTGCTCCTGCAGGACCCCGTCCAGGCGCAGGCGCAGGCCCTCGAGGCACGGCAGAGAGCGGCAGTCCCGCACGTTCAGCAGCGTCTGGAACAAGTCCTGCCACAGCTCAGCGTGGACCATCCTGAGAGAGAGAGAGAGAGAGACAGAGAGAGGGAGGGAGAGAGAGGGAGAGGGAGAGGGAGAGAGAGAGAGAGAGAGAGAGAGAGAGAGAGAGAGAGAGAGAGAGAGAGAGAGAGAGAGCGAGAGAGAGAGAGAGAGAGAGAGAGAGGAGAGAGAGCAGAGAGAGAGAGAGAGAGAGAGAGACACAGAGAGAGAGAGAGAGAGAGAGAGAGAGAGAGAGAGAGAGAGAGAGAGACAGAGAGAGGAGAGAGAGAGAGAGAGAGAGAGAGAGAGAGGGAGAGAGAGAGAGAGAGGAGAGGGAGAGAGAGAGAGAGAGAGAGAGAGAGAGAGAGAGAGAGAGAGAGAGAGACGAGAGAACAGAGAGAGAGAGGGAGAGGGAGAGGGAGAGAGAGAGAGAGAGGAGAGGAGAGAGGGAGAGAGAGGAGAGAGAGAGAGAGAGAGGAGAGAGAGAGAGAGGGGAGAGGGAGAGAGAGAGAGAAGAGAGAGAGGAGAGAGAGGAGAGAGAGACAGAGAGAGAGGGAGAGAGAGATACACAGAGACAGAGAGAGGGAGAGGGAGAGGGAGAGGGAGAGAGAGATGAGAGAGAGAGAGAGAGAGAGAGAGAGAGGGAGAGAGAGAGAGAGAGAGGAGAAGAGAGAGAGAGAGAGAGAGTCGGTGTTTAACGAGAGAGTGTGTTCAGAGCTGGCGAGTCTGTCACTAGGGGTGTAACGATACATGTCACGATTCGATACATATCACCACACTGAACTCACGATACCATCTTACTGCGATACTCCAAGACAAATGATAAAAGGTTCACAACATTTTTTTTACTGTTGATTTAAATGCTAGACTTGTGTTGCATAGTGTGTGTAAATGAACAGGCTTGGACTCAGTGCTGGAACCCAAAGCACAGGGACAATAGAGACGCCAGAATAACAACATTCATGATTCTGGAGATGAAAACTGAGTTATTATAGACGAATATGCTTGTGCTGTCACTGACTAGATATATTTAATATAATGTCGGCCACTTTTACTGCTAACATCAGGCGTTTGGCATTATCAGGACACACACATATTCCCCCACTGCATTATTATACATTATATATAGTAGTTTAATGTAGTACTGACACTAAAACTGAATATTTTTCTCACACAGTAATTTTTATTTTGGGTGAACTATCCACAATACATAGTTGCATTTTTGTATTTCGATATGATGTATTGCACACCCCGTCACACGTGACCCTCTCACCTTTTGAACACGCCGTTGGTCCTCCAAACGCCGCCGTCCTCCTTCACTTGCATGTAGGTCCCGAACAGCATACAGTAGACGGTGCCGGCGATGCCGAAATAATCCGTCTGAGGGGGCGAGACCACAGGCGTGAGCGCGACAGTAACCCAGCCTGACTGCACTGATGAACGGGAGTCTGCTGAATCAATGCTACTGAGAGACTAGTGTTCAGGCAACTATTCAAAACAACCAGGTAAATCCTACATTAGAACTCAATTCAAGCTTGTAGAAATTAAAGCGTAAATATCAACGATATAAAATTACCTACTCAACTTCTCTAATAGTGGAGTTCCCATCATGCACTGGGGCATGAATAATTAACAGGGCTGATTTTTCACTGTTTTCCTGCTGATTTCAAAGTTAAGGATTCATTAGTTTAAATATATTCCTTTTTATCAAACACTAACATCTTAGTTGAAAATTAAATATACTTTATTTTAGACAAAACATGCATGTTTTGGTCGTGACGGCACATTACAGAATTTTAACTCGCATACTAAAACATACTTGGATACTAATGACTGTGTCAAATTTATTTACCCCAAATAAATGATTATGTGTTCCTTTTGTCGCTACCAAAACATTGGCATGTTTCGGTCATTACGGTTTCGTTAGGCTCAAAAGTATCTAAAATTGTCACTAACTCAAAGATGCTAATCAGCACAAGGTTGCCTAGCACAGTTCTGAACAGTTGCACACACACAAACTACATTTTATGGAATTACACCCAAAAAAGTTTGCTTAATTGCAGAAAAAAACACTGTTTGGTAGTGACAGTACTTAAAGTTACACACAGATTTTCAGACTTTTGAACACATTTCCCTCTAAATGATGGTACGCATCTACAGTGAGAGAGAGAGACATCAGAGATGTGGTTAAAATCAGTCTCTGCCAATGCACACACACTGTTTCAGTAGTGACGTGAAAATGCAGGACACATTTTTAGTTTCATGATTTAAAAATAAAATATAAAATAAATGTTTTTTTTTTTTTTTTACTTTACTTTTTAAAAGAAATCAAAAAGATATTTTTAAAAACAACAATGGAAAAACAACAACAGCAATAAATTCAATATTTTCACAAGATGAAATTTAGAGGTTAGGGTTCGGGCCAGCTCCCTCCAATTGAAAGGACCCATTTTAACATGGGGGTTTATGGGATTGAGTGTCTTCTGCAGCCGGCCTCTGAGTGTAACCTGCAGTTCACCCACTGGCCACTAGTGCTGGACTCAAGAGAGACACGGGAGGGTTGCCGCTTGGTTCACACCAGCGCACGATAACTTTGTGTTAATTATAAGCACACACTGCAGTTTTGTCGTCTGCCGCTTTAAATGCTCGAGCTCGTTAAAGCAGGATTCTGATTGGTCAATGTTTTTATCGTTCATCAGCTGGAAAAAAAATCTTTCTGCAAGTGATTCCAATGATATCATTTCACTGTGCCTTTATCGTTATAGTTGTGCTATTCCTCTATATTTATTTTGAATAATTTTGAATAATCCTGGTGTAAATGGGCTTAATGCTGATAATTCTGCCACTTATACACCCTTGTTTAATTTTCCACTGTGGTGCAAGAAACTTATTTTCAAACATCAGATCATAGTGACGAGAAAGGTGTCGAGTAAGATCAGGTGTGCTCCGAGTGGTGGAGGGTACCTGGTAGCTCCAGGGTCGTCCGCTCAGCATCTCCACACACTGGAAGCCCGAGGTCATGCACTTGGCTGTGAACGCAGTGTCTTCTGGGAAGAGCGTCATGTCGATGCTCTGGCCCAGGTCGATGAGAGCCAGGCCGTGCTGGAGGTGATCCCGCTCGAAGCAGTCGTTCTCCAGGAACCTACACACACACACACACACACACAGATGGGTCAGTCACTGAGCGGCCGCCGTCTGGCACGCACACGCACACACACACACACACACCTCTCCCCCAGCAGGAAGTTGTCGGGCTTGATGTCGGCGTGTATGATGTGGGCCTGGTGGAGCTGCTGGACCATGTGGAGGATGCAGACGGTGAAGTAGAGCACCAGCGGCTGCGGCAGCACCTTCTCACTGCGACTCTTGTACAGGTTTATAGCGCTCTGCGGACAAAACATCATCCGTTCATTATTCACAAACAGCCAACATTTAGATTTTAAAATAAAACTATATATCCTGCCGTTTTAAAGTTGAGACTCTCCTCATGTTTGGATAATGATGCACTTAATAGTTAATTGACCAAACGCATCATTATAAAAGTTCACAATGCGGTTTTAGATGAAATATAACGTGGACAACATTGAATAAATATATTTTCGCCAGGGTAGATATGCTACTGATTATTAATCACTCAAACCCCTTTATCTAAACCGCTCTGCTTAACCGTCGGTCTCGCACATCCATCATGTTTGTAGTTTAGTTTTTTTTTTTTTTTTTTTACTTTTTAAGTAGTTTGTAGTTCTAATTGAATCCTCATCCATAGCACAATGGGTTGTGGGCAATATTAGCCGTTAGAGTGCAAAAAAAGGAAAAAGTAGACCATCCGGGTCTCTTAGGAACACTCATTTCAACACACTACAATTTGGGACTCACTAATTCTACTTTTGAATACCGTTTAGGACGGATAGTATGTGAATTGGAACGCAGCGACTCTCTCGCTCGTCCCCCTGGGCTATATCAGACCGGTACAGGAATGCACCCTTCTGTGTGTCTGGACAATGTGTTGTTTACTGGGCCGTCAGACCCGAGACGGAGACCTGGGCTTCATGTTAGTGGTTGGCTGAGAGCCTCACCAGCAGTGTGCCGCAGTTGTGCAGCTCTCCGATCAGCACGCTGCCGTTGCTGAAGAGGTGAGCCGAGTATATGGTGTTGAAGAGGTGGCGTACGCTGGGCTGCAGACGGGCGTTCAGCTGGCTGTCCATGTAAAACTCCCACGGGTTGGCTGGCTTCTGCACCTGAGGAACAACACAAGCTGTTGGACATGTCCATCTCAAGACAGCTGCTATTGGCTCAGTTTCTCCCACTGTAGCACATCAGGGTCAGGGTAATGTGCACCACTATCTTTATAATAAAGGGATAGTTCACCCAAAAATGACAATTAGCCTGTGATTTACTCTCCCTGAAGCCATCCTAGGTGTATATGACATTCTTCTTTCACACGAATACAATCCCGAGTTCTATTAATGTCCTGGCTCTTCCCAGCTTTATAATGGAGTTAATGGGTGTATCTTTTTGGAAGTCCATCAAAGCGCATCCATCCATGATAACAGTGCTCGAAACGGCTCTGGCGGATTAATAAATGTCTTCTGAACTGAAGCGATGCGTTCGTGTAAGAAAAACATCCATATGTAAAACTTGATGGACTAAAATAACTAGCTTCCGGCAGACGGCCTACGCAAGTCGACTTACGCCACAAGAGCAACACTTGATGATGTGTGACGTAGATGTAGGAGTAGCGTAAGCTTTCTCTAGCGGAGCAAACAAACAGCACAACCACGTTCGTCATTACATTGTGTGTCAGTTCAAGTGTTACTCTTGTGCCGGAAGCTAGTTATTTTAGTCCATCAAGTTTTACATATGGATATTTTTCTTACACGAATGCATCGCTTCAGTTCAGAAGACATTTATTGATCCGCCAGAGCCGTTTCAAGCACTTTTATCATGGATGGATGCGCTTTGATCGACTTCCAAAAAAATATACCCATTAACTCCCATTATAAAGCTTGGAAGAGCCAGGACATTTTATAATATAACTCTGTGTTCGTGTGAAAGAAGAGTGTCATATACAGCTAGGATGTCTTCAGGGTGAGTAAATCACGGGCTAATTCTCATGTTTGGGTGAACTATTCCTTTAACACACTTTCTCGTTTGGAAAGCCGCTAACATTTGCAGGTTGATTCTGCTGAAAAGTGAAACACTTAGAGGCAAAACTTTGCGAGTGATGTGTGAATCTCATGCAAACGCAACACTAGCATCTCTGTGTCAGATGTGTGTGTGTTCTCGTCACCTTGAGGATGAGTTTGCGTGAGGTCATGAGGTTGGTGGCCTGGTAGACTGTGGCGAACGCTCCCTGTCCAAGAACAAAGTCCACTCGCAGCGACTCTCCAGCTGAGGGACACATAAAAACGGTAAATGGACTGCATTTATATAGCGCTTTCACAGACCCAATGGCCACCAAAGCGCTCTACATTTGCCTCACATTCACCCATTCAGTCACTCATTCATACACCGACGGCGGTGTCTGCCATTCAAGGCGCCATCCCGCTCGTCGGGAGCAGCCGGGGTTAGGTGTCTTGCTTATGGACACCTCGACACTTGGTCAGGTGGAACCGGGGACTGAACCACCAACCTTCCAGTTTGTAGACAACCTACATGAACCACTGAGCCACTGCCGCCCCTGAAGGCACTATGAAGACACTTCACATCCGCTCAACACTTTTACAAGCTCTATGAACTTTCTGAAGCGGCAAATTGGTAGTTGCGTAGCTGTCAATGGAGGGACCGAAAGCTCTCCTTTCATCAGGGTTTGTACAGATACTGTAAAATATAATGCCAGGACTTTTTTCAAGCACTACTTTTTTTTTTTTTTTTAAGGACTACAATCAGAGATCTCATTTATCAAACAATATCTTTTTTATCTTTTAAAATTCTAAAAAGATGGATAAAATTAAACTAATAAAACAAAATGGTGCAAATAAAGAGCAACACATGCAATGACTGTGGAAACTTTAACCTTTTAAAGGGGTCATAAAATGCCATTTTTGTACCAGTTAATATGAATGTTTAGGGTCTAAATGAAAACTTAATATACTTTCATTAAAAATTCTCATTAGTATTTTAAGAAAACACTTATTTTACCTGGTCAAAAACAGCTCTGTTTTCAGCACGCCGTTTCAGTGCATGTGTCTTTAAATGATAATGAGCTTCGCTGACTCCGCCCCTCTGTTCTGCGGGCGTTTAGACAACGCACGTGAAGTGTTGCCTTGACAACAGTTGAGGGTATATTTTGGAGAGAGAATGGCACGGGAGTCTCTGAGGACACATCTGTGCAACCGTATCAGTTTGAACCCGGAGTCGGACCCGGAACAAGATGACGGCCGCAAAGAAGTTCGACAATTAAGGCTCGAACAGGACGTTTCTGAATGGTTGGTTAACAATGTCACTTTGATCTATTTTTGTATGCACCGGCAGGGTAACGCTAGAGTAGTGAGATACGAACGCTGTGTGTTTACTGATGTAACCTATACGTTAGTTCATTGACAGATTGATGTTACAACTAATGGTCATGAAAAACTTTTTTTCGCGATTTGCAAAGAATAATATAAAGGTTAATAAAACTTTACACTCACTTCTTCTGGAGGTGCAGAGGGAACATAAATAGTTGCCACCGATTATTTTTTCAGGAGCAGCTTCTTAGCAAAACCAGCTTTATACTGATCCTCGTTTATAAAGCAGTCTGCTGAGAAATGATTCGCGCAAACATGAGAGCATTGACGTTGCTCGTGGGGAATATTCCCTTCGAAAACAAACTCAGCCACTGCGTCTTCAGCGGTTCGGATTTAGGAACATTAAAATGACTGTGTTCGTTATTACACCCAAGAGCAGAACACCACAATCGCTGAGACGCCATTCTGCTCATAGACAGAGCTCCAGCATATCAACAATGACGGACTATGATGACAGCTCGCTCAGGGCGGGTCTGTGTTGAAACACTGCTGTCAATCAACAATCGTGGGAGGGGCGTCCGATTTACTGACGTCACAAAAACGAACGGCTCGATTTGAGGCAGGGGAAAACATATAAGGAGATTAAAACAAAAACACTGGATGGATTTTTATCATTATATGATGGTTGTGTACAGGCACTGAAACACACATTTCAGTACAATCAACTTGTAAAAGTGCATGTACCATTATATGACCCCTTTAAAAGGATTCTATGAAAAAGATATCGCTTTCCTTATCAAACTCATTTTTTCTCCCATGAATATATGATTGACTAGAATAAAAGCTGTATCATATACTTTTAGTGTGATATTGCTCATATAAATATCTTAGCCATGTGAAATGCCTCCATCTATATCAGCGGGACTGCAGCGTTAATTTTGTGTGAAAAGATTGTTTTATTAATACTAGGGATGCACCGAATCCAGGATTCGGATTCGGCCGAATATTAGGAATTTTAACGGGGTTCGGTTTCTGCCGAACCTCAGAATTTTTTTCCACCGAACCGAACCCTAGGCTTGCACTAGGCGCGCTACGTCGAAGTCACCGATCAGTGAATGACATCAAAGTACCGCGTGAACGAATAGAGAGCAGACGGCTCCTTATGCTTTTGAATTGCTCTCGCGGGACTTTGATGTCATAAACTGATCTGTCTGTGCAGCGCCGTTTCAAGTCGAACAAGCCTGTAGTGTAACGCGTTGTGTCAGGAAGAAAAATAGGGATAGCTCACAGCTAAAGTTATTGCAGAGGCCAGACTTACTCACGGAGGCGATTGGCATCTCACAACTCGCACTTTATTCCACAATCGAACTTGTGTAACTGTCTGTCACACGTTCTACCGTCCACAGCGTTACTTAACAAAATAAGGTAAAAATGAGCATCAAACAGAAATAACCCGCATACATGGGCATGTGTTCGAGGCGCACGGCACATACGGCGCGCAGTTCTTAAAGGGGCCACACCTTATTTCCACTCGTTACAGTAGGTGGACCGTTCGAATGCAGTAGGCTGTGAGAAAGTGAAAATGGAACTCGTAAGCAGAAAAAGTGTTGTTTGGCAGTACTTTCAGTGAAAGAAGGCAATTCAAGTTGAGCTACATGTTCAATTTGCAATGCCGATTTGTCTCATGGTGGCAAGGACTCTAAATAGGCTACACAACATCGCCGCTGTTAAAATGCATAATGTTGCTTATTCTTTTTTTTTTTTTTACAGTTATAAAAGTAAAAGTAGTGTTTATTATTTACAGTAATAAAATAAAATGAAAAATCCACTTTGTTTACTTCATTAATGTGTTTACTGTGTTAATGGACTGAGGATGAGAGTAGGATTCGGTATTCGGTTTCGGATTCGGCAGAATCTTAACCAGTGGATTCGGTATTCGGCCGAACCCCACAAATCTGGATTCGGTGCATCCCTAATTAATACAACTAAAAATATATTTAGCATATAGTGTCTTTCAATAATTCGAGCACTTTTAAAGTACTTCTTCATAAAAATGGCTGTTTTCAAGGGTTTTCCAGGACTTAAACTTCCAAAAGTCAAATTCCAGTACTTTCAGCACCATGTACGAACCCTATTTCATTAAATATACACCTTTTTTGTGTTTCGAAGATGAACAAAAGTCTTGTGTTTGGAAGGACATGAGTGTGTGTAAATGATGACGTATTCATGTTTGTGAGAACACGCTGTGGTACAGTGACTGTAGAAGAGGCGTGTGTACAGCACGGATAAAGCTGGTCAGGCAGGGGTGTAACGGTTCACACAATTCACAGTTCGGTTCGATACGATACAGTGGTGTCACGGTTCGGTATGTTTTCGATACAGCAAAAAGAAAGAAATGCCAGAGAAATTTCCTATTTATTAAAAATAATTTTTAAATAAGTGTGAGTGTTCCTACATCTTGAAACTTTTAGTTTTATAAATGGGGGTAATCTTTGAAGGATGAACAAATAATGTTTTGGTCATCACATTAAAAATAACATTTAAATATGATAATATTTGAGTTTTGATGTGCTGGAAAAAGCTGAAAACTATTCCTGCCACACTTCCATGGTTACAGTGAGTGTTACTACAGTAAACCCATGGTGAATGTTGCTGATCTGTGGACTTAAAGCCTATAACTAGATCATTCACGGCACAATGTTTCTCCTGGTTTCCACGTCAGCGCTGTTTGATCAATTAATAACGGAGAAATGTGAATGTTTCTCACTAGATCTCGCAGCGATGGTATTACTTCAGTGGCGAACTCAAATGCTTTGTTTACTGGATGTCTTAGCGCTGTGTAGTAACAGTGTGGCTTGATCAAGATCGGCTCGCGCTGCACTGACATTGATGGTCCAAACTGATAAACGGTCCGTGAAGCACAAAATAATGAGTAGCGCAGTTTTGTTCTGCTTTCATTATGTTTGCCATTTCAGGTTGTGCAACATTGTGGTGGTCGCGCCAGCGCAGATTTTGGTCGGCAGGAAAAATGGTCCAACGAATCGTTCGGTTTGTAATACGTACTGAACCGAAAGCCTTGTACTGAACAGTTCAATGCGAATACATGTATCGTTACACCTATGGTCAGGTGCGCGCGCTGACAGGAAGGCGGGGAGCTGTAGATTACCGATCTGGACGGTCATCTTGGGGGTGATGGTGGGCAGCCGGCAGCTCCAGGCGGTGAGGCCGGGGTGTGAGGAGAGAGGCGGCTGCAGGTTAGACAGCAGAGACACGATCAGCTCCTCGTCCCAGGGGTCCGACACCAGCTGGACACAGCCTGCAGAAACACCACAGGAGCACTGTAAACACACGTGTGCGGTGAAGTCTTCGCTGCATGACCTTCACTGGCTACCTGTGGCATCACGCATTCACTGTAACATATTACTCCTAACATTTGAGCACCTCCATATCTAATCTACTTTACTCTGCCCCGTCCCTGAGATCAGCTAAACCTGTTTTTTTTTTGTCCCTCGTTTTTGGTTGTCCACTGTAGGTGGAAGGTCATATAGTGCTAATGCTCCTAAATTATGCAAATATGCACATCTCATCTATGGCTACCTTAGACTCAGCTAAAACATATCTTAACATGTATTTGGATAATGTGGCTATATGTGTTCTTACGTGTTCTTATGTGTGTAAATGTATTGTAAGGTACAATGTAAAGCGACCTTGAGCTACGGAAAGGAAAGGCGCTACATAAATAAAAAGAATACCTGGTTTGGATGTGTCCATGGGGCTCATGGGAGCACTGGTTTCCCTGCAGCTCTGCGACGGGCTGGTCATGGGCTCCAGATCCGGCTCTGTGGTCCGCTGAGGGCCGTCAGCGCTGAACCAGTCTGGGCTCCTCGATTCCTCCTCAGTGGACTGTTTTGGACTCATTAACAGAGATTCATGTAACATCTGAAGTGCTTTCACTCCTGATCTCCGCTGCTGGAAGGATTTTTTGGGAAGCAGAACGCCCTGTTCCTCCAGCATGTCCAGATCCCGCTCCGCCGCCGGCTCTGGGCCCGTCGCCCACAGGTCTGTTTCGGGGGGTTTCTCCGGGTTTTGGTAGACGGTCCAGGCGGGCCGAGTGAACACCGGAGCCGGACTCATCATGACATCGAGATCCGGTTCTGCTGCGTGGGTCGAACCGTCCACCTGGAACCAGCTCAGTCCCGCAGCAGCTTTCGGGCTCATGGACACGTCCTGTTCCTCCAGTGGTGCGCGCCTGGGAACGTCACTGACCGCTGGGTCTGGACGCGTGGGCTGCTTCTCTGGGCTCTGGTAGATGCTCCAGCTTGGCCTGCTCATGGACTCGTCCTGCTTATCCAGTGGCGCGCCCCTGGGAACGTCACTGACCGCTGGGTCTGGGCGTGTGGGCTGCTTCTCCAGGCTCTGGTAGATGCTCCAGCTCGGCCTGCTCATGGACTCGTCCTGCTCCTCCAGTGGCGTGCGCCTGGGAACGTCACTGACCGCTGGGTCTGGGCGCGTGGGCTGCTTCTCCAGGCTCTGGTAGATGCTCCAGCTTGGCCTGCTCATGGACTCGTCCTGCTTATCCAGTGGCGCGCGCCTGGGAACGTCACTGACCGCTGGGTCTGGGCGCGTGGGCTGCTTCTCCAGGCTCTGGTAGATGCTCCAGCTTGGCCTGCTCATGGACTCGTCCTGCTTATCCAGTGGCGCGCGCCTGGGAACGTCACTGACCACTGGGTCTGGACGCGTGGGCTGCTTCTCCGGGCTCTGGTAGACGCTCCAGCTCGGCCTGCTCATGGACTCGTCCTGCTTATCCAGTGGTGCGCGCCTGGGAACGTCCCTGACCACTGGGTCTGGACGTGTGGGCTGCTTCTCCAGGCTCTGGTAGACGCTCCAGCTCGGCCTGCTCATGGACTCGTCCTGCTTATCCAGTGGTGCGCGCCTGGGAACGTCCCTGACCACTGGGTCTGGACGTGTGGGCTGCTTCTCCGGGCTCTGGTAGATGCTCCAGCTTGGCCTGCTCATGGACTCGTCCTGCTCCTCCAGTGGCGCGCGCCTGGGAACGTCACTGACCGCTGGGTCTGGGCGCGTGGGCTGCTTCTCCGGGCTCTGGTAGATGCTCCAGCTCGCTCTGCTCATGGACTCGTCCTGCGTCCTCAGGGCTGTGTGGTCGGGGAAGGACAGGGCGGCCAGCGGGTGTCTGCTGCTACAGCTGCTTTGGGCCAGAGAGAGCCCTGGAGTCTGCGCCAACGACACGCCCTCGCCCACGATCGTGCCCTGAGCCCTGCTGCTGTCCAGCTCCGACGGCTTATCCTCCACCGGACTCTGCTCCATGATGGGGCTGCAGGGAAACCACACACACACACCGGCTCACACAGCAGTAAGAGCGGAGACTAAAGCCCTATTATTCGGACGGAATAAACTTTACAAGGGTAGATGGAGTAATGTAATTTTACCACAGGTACGGTGTATATTTTAGGACATCCTCAGACATATGAAGACAAGGCATCATGCATCAGACTAAAAGGCTTCAGTCATTGGACAAAACGGCATCGCGTCACAGACTGAAAAGCTTCAGGTCTCAGGAAAAACAATGTCAAGCAGGGCTTGACATTAACTTTTTGAGGCACTTGTCCTTCGGACAAGTAAATTTATGTTTCTCTTGTCCATGCACAAAAGTCACTTGTCCGAGTAAAGATTTATAATTTTATCTAGGGCTGCACGATTTGGGGAAAATGTCATATTGCGATTATTGAGTTCAATATTGCGGTTGTGATATGCGATTGCGATATAATAAACAAATGGTTTCATGAGTCAACTTGTTTGGTTCTAAACCAAATGCACACACGGATTAGTGATAATTCTGAAATTAGCAATAACAACTAAATGATTGATAACACCTATAATGATCAATAAGCCATTGATGTCTGGATAAAAATTAACTGTCTAACAGGTAGGACATATACAGAAATTGAATAAAGTTATCAAACAGTCTGGGCTGCATAAATTATAAATTATATATAGACTACTACTTATTGAAGCTACACAAGTTCTTTAGTCAAGAGCAGTGAGTAATTTTCTCTGTTCCCTTTGTTCTTTCAGTAACTTTACTGACAGAACGCTTTATTGGTAGCTGGCCCTTTAAGAGCAGCCGCTGTGGACAGAGACGCGGATATCACACGCGCCTCATTCTCTCACGAGTCACAACTCTTTATGTCCATCATAAGACTGTTCTTATGTTATGAAGATACTCGACAAATGACATTTTGGCTTAATTGTGTGTGTTGTTGATGTTCGTTCAAGCGCGAAAGAGAACTTCTGGCGCGCGGTCTGTGCATGCGCATTATACTGGCGCGCGTCTTTCTGTGAGTCACATTCAGGACATTCACAGGCAGCGCGAAAAAATTTGTTAGTTTCAAATCGGTAAAATTAAATCTGTAAAATAGACGTAACGAGTGGCACATAACGTGAAGTAACATGGCATTTTATTTTGTTTGAAATTTAACTTGTTATCCGGTCGGACAACTAATTTTCTCTTCTACTTGTCCTACAAAAAATCCACTTGTCCCGGACAAGCGGACAAGCCTTAATGTCGAGCCCTGTCAGGTGTCAGGTCTCGTACAATTAGGCATCAGTTGAAGCGGCATCAGACGAAGCGGCATCAGACGAAACGGCATCACACAAAGGCATCAGACGAAGCGGCATCAGACGAAACGGCATCAGACGAAACGGCATCAGACTAAAAGGCATCGGACGAAACGGCATCAGACGAAACGGCATCAGACGAAACGGCATCAGACGAAACGGCATCGGACGAAACGGCATCAGACGAAACGGCATCGGACGAAAAGGCATCGGACGAAACGGCATCAGACTAAAAGGCATCGGACGAAACCGCATCGGACTAAAAGGCATCGGACGAAACGGCATCAGACGAAACGGCATCAGACGAAACGGCATCAGCCTAAAGGCATCAGACGAAACGGCATCAGCCTAAAGGCATCAGACGAAACGGCATTGGACGAAATGGCATCAACCTAAAGGCATAAGACTAAACGGCATCAGACGAAACGGCATCGGACGAAACGGCATCGGACAAAAAGGCATCGGACGAAAAGGCATCGGACGAAACTGCCTCAGCCTAAAAGGCATCGGACGAAACGGCATCAGACGAAACGGCATCAGCCTAAAGGCATAAGACTAAAAGGCATCGAACGAAACAGTCTCAGACTAAAAGGCATCGGACGAAACGGCATCAGCCTAAAAGGCATCGGACGAAACGGTATAAGCCTAAAAAGCATCGGACGAAACGGCATCAGCCTAAAAAGCATCGGACGAAACGGCATCAGCCTAAAAGGCATCGGACGAAACAGTCTCAGACTAAAAGGCATCGGACAAAAGGACGAAACGGCATCAGATGAAACTGCATCAGACGAAAAGGCATCAGACGAAACGGCATCAGACGAAACGGCATCAGACGAAACGGCATCAGACGAAACGGCATCAGACGAAACGGCATCAGACAAAAAGGCATCAGACAAAAAGGCATCAGACTAAAAGGCATCGGACTAAAAGGCATCGGACGAAACGGCCTCAGCCTAAAAGGCATAAGAGTAAAAGGCATCGGACGAAACGGCATCAGACGAAACGGCATCAGACATAAAGGCATCGGACGAAACGGCCTCAACCTAAAAGGCATCGGACGAAACGGCATTGGACGAAACGGCATCAGCCTAAAGGCATAAGACTAAAAGGCATCGGACGAAACGGCATCAGACGAAACTGCATCAGACGAAAAGGCATCAGACAAAAAGGCATCAGACAAAAAGGCATCAGACGAAACGGCATCAGACGAAACGGCATCGGACGAAACGGCATCAGACTAAAAGGCATCGGACGAAACGGCATCAGACGAAACGGCATCGGACGAAACGGCATCAGCCTAAAAGGCATCAGACGAAACGGCATCGGACTAAAAGGCATCGGACGAAACGGCATCAGACTAAAAGGCATCGGACGAAACGGCATCAGACTAAAAGGCATCGGACGAAACGGCATCAGACGAAACGGCATCAGCCTAAAGGCATCGGGCAAAACGGCATCAAGTGGAGTTTAGAGGTTCGCATTGCCCCGGCCCATGTGACGTCACATGTACACGGTTCAGATCAGATACAACAGCTGATGGAGGCGCTAACCCATCATGATATATTTATAGAATTGCGTTCCTCAAATGTTACACTAATTACGTTGTATACAGAAGAGAACATGCATTTCGCGAGTTTTATGATGACATTTCAACTAGCTATATAGCTTGTATGTTGGCAAACTATGCGAACCTCTAAACTCCACCTGAGTCCGTTTTGTCTGAGGCCGTTTCGCCCGATGCCATTATGTCTGAGGCCATTTCGTCTGATGCCTAATTGAACGACACCTGACAGTGTTTTTCCTGAGACCTGAAGCTTTTCAGTCTGAGACGTGATGCCTTTTACTCTGAGGCATGATGCCTTGTCTTCATATGTCTGAGGATGTCCTACAATGTACTCCGTACACAGGACGTCTGTAATAATAATGGCCAATTCGCAGAGGATGAGAAATCTCAGTAAAACTAGCAGAAGTGGGAGAGTAACTCGATTTACACACCGCCGTCACTCCTGTCTTCATGTGTGTATTACGCTGCTTCCTGATATCACGTGCGCAAACACAGATATATAATATATATATTTATATATATAAAACAGTTATGTCCGGTCGAACGATGTATTAATTAACTTCAGATTGGATTGTGTTGGTAATAAGCACGCTAAAAGATGTTTCGTGCCTCTAACGAGTGCTTTCGATCTTCTTTCTGATCTGAATGGTGTGTGGAAAACACTGAGTTTGCCACAGACTCGTCCCAGCGTCTAGAACGCAACTGGAGGCTTTTCAAGCGTCTCCATACTTGAAAAACTGCGGAAAACTACTTTTAAACAGGAAATGACAAAATATTTACATACATATTTACTATTCGCACAGGATTAGCATTACCTGAGGGCATTTTTCCGGACCTTTTTACTGAAGGTAAAAGTCGCCGTAATCTTTACTGACATTGTCCGTGATGATCACTGAGATGCACATTCAGACGGGACTAAAATCACAGAGAAGCTCTGGTCATTATTACTTAACTCCCCTCTCCACGTTACCTCTTTACCCGAACACACTCGGCACTACGCAACAAATAACGGCACGCTTGTTCATTTGCATTGAAGCAACAGTGAAGATTAAAAAGCATTTGGTTAACAGAAAATACTTATTTTCCAACATCCTACATTTGTGAATTTTTTATTTTTTATGTATTGATCTGACCAACTAAAATACATTTTTGGTGATGAGGATGAAAGAGGAAGGGAGGAGATGCTGGATGACAGGATTTTGGTTTTCAGAAATGAATGTATGAAATCCACATTTGTATTATTTAAGTTCAACTTTGATTAACCTTTTTGAACTTTCACTCCAAATGTTAACTACTTTATATAATATGAGGAACTTAATCTGGTTTATTTATTTTTTTCCTTAGAAATAGCCTGTTAGTAGAATAGGTTGACATGTAGTTGTAAAGTAGCTTAAAGTCAGTAGAATGCCTAAAGTGGACCATCAAAATAAAGTGTTACTACAGGGTTTATGCAGGAATCATAGAGATGAATTTACTACCTTTTACTACCTTTTTTACTACCTCCACAATATTTTTTACTACCAACACGACATATATTCTATGTAACGTTACAATGTTCTCAATATAATTCATAATCCCACGTTTATAATGAACAACGCGTTATGGTTATTGTGTTATTAAAAACTGTGTACGCAGAGGGGCGGGGTGACCAAAGCTCATTATCATTTAAAGGCATGTGATTGTGCACTGAAACGGCGTGCTGAAAACAGAGCTATTTTTGAGCTGGTAAAATGAGTGTTTTCTTAAAATACTAATGAGACTTTTTGATAAAAGTATATTACAAAGTTTTCATTTAGACCCTAAAGATTCATATTAACTTGTACAAAAATGGCATTATATGACCCCTTTAACCCTAGCCCTTGAGTTATCCTAACCATTACGTTAGCCCTTAGCCCTAATAAGGTGAATAATAACCTTGGCACTTAAAAACAAATGACACTTAACAGCCATAAACTTTAATAAAGATTAATAATAAAGTGTGTCACATCACACACACTTACCCACAAACACACATTCTCACACACACAGACTTAAGCAGTGAAATTACTATCCCAAAACAGCAATTTATTTAATCACATCTCTAAATGTGCTTCAAATATGGCACTGCTTTGCTCCTCCCTCACGCGAACCCGTTAAATATTTTCAATTAGGGATGCACGATACCACTTTTTGCAGAACGAGACGGATACCAATACTTTCATTTTTGGTACTCGCCGATATCGATACCGTAACCGATCCCTGAATTTTCACTGCATTTGTAATTTTTAAATGTATTAGTAGATAAACCAAAAGAATATAAATCATATTAGTTGGCTTAATTTGTTCATCAAATATATATTTCCTTCAGATATTTTCATGCTTAATTAATCCTGCTAAAAAGCATGCTTCTGTTTCTGTCACTGTTCATTCTATTGCTCTATCATATTTTATCTTTCATTTAATACAGGGTATACACAGAAATTCTTAAAATGAATTTAATACCTTTTAATACCTTCACTATATTTTTTAATACCATCACGACTTCAAGATGCAACTGTAGTGGCGTATATAGAGACAAGTAAAGTAATGAAATATCTTCGAAAACTTGCATTTCCCCATAATGTCCAGGGTTTTTTCCTTGGTCAAAATTGGTCTTCGGTGGTGGCCGACAGACACTTATCCTTTCTTGCCCTTTTTTAAAAAAAAAAATACTTCTTTGCTGGACGTGATAATTGTTTTGGTATAATCATATCAATATCAAAAAGTAGAATAAAAACGGAGCATTAAAAAGTTTATTTTAAAAGTTTATTTAAGTCTAATTTTCTACCATATACTGTAAAATTTAACAGAATTAGCTGCCAGATACTTTTTTTTTTTTAAAATTAAATAACAAAAATTGCTGCTAGATAACAACTTGCTTTGCACTTTTTTTCTGGTTTCACCTCACTCCAGTCTAAACTAATTTTTTTTTTTTTGCAATGTTTCTACACATTATAACATAAATAACCTGAAAATACTACGTAGTTTACAACATACATGAATTGTTTGTTCATATTACTTCACAGTGCATTAACTAATGTTAACAAATACAACTTTTGATTTCAATAATGTAGGCTATATGGTGAAATTGACATTAAGAAAGATTATTTAATGATGTAGACGTGCAGTTTATTAATAGTTCATGTTAACTAATGTAGTTAACTAGATTTTAATAAATGGAACCATATTGTGTTACCGATTCAGAAGTCCCATGAGGACAGATCCGTTGTGTTAACCATTCATTAAAGTGACGCGTCATTAGCGGACGTGTACTAGGGCTGCACGATGTATCATTTTAACATCGATATCGCGATGTGCGCATCCACGATAGTCACATCGCAGATATGTACGATGTCAAGTATGGATCGTAGTTGATGGTGATTCATGATCAGTAGGCAACGTGCCAGCAGCTCTCCGGCCCGTAACGCTTGTGATTCGTGGATTAATTGCAAAGTTCAACCATCATAGTGTGAGAGTTTATCAATTTGCAAGTCCTGTCAGTTTAAACATAAAGCGCAAGAAGACTGGAACTTGCGCGCTGTTTTCTGTCAGCCTCTAAAGCGTATTTTTGTCCCGCCAAAGTTTGACCGGTGACTGATGTAAAGACTGACTGCTGCGCTTGTTTAACTGAGAGAGCGAGCAGAGAGAGTGAAAGCCCCGGTCGCGCGCGCGCACTCTCACCGTCTTCAAACTGTCTTTCTCGCTCTCCCTCCCTCGCGCATATTAATGAATTGAGTTGAGTTGACTCAGTGATGGATTTCATCCAGTGATGAAATGTTTTCTGTGTTGACAAATCTTGTGCGATGTGGTCCGTTAATGAAACGTCCGATTCGCGAACTAATGACTCATTTGAACCGATTCACTTTAATGAATGGTTAAAACAACTGATCTGTCCAACACTGAACTCAAGAGACATAAATCAGAAACACTTTACAATAAGGTTCCATTTATTAAAGTCTAGTTAACTACATTAGTTAACATACTATTAATATTAGTTTCTATGCAGATTTACTCCATGACAAAACCACCCAAGTCATTCTAGAATTATTCATTCTTTCCAAATAGAGCTATTTAAGTAATCTGGTGAAATTGTTTTTATATCGCAATATATATCGCAGAAAAATAAAATATCGCAATGTGATTTTTTACCAATATCGTGCAGCCCTAACGTGTACGCATTGTGTGGTTATCCCATCAGTTAGGACATCGCACAAAATTTGTGTCAACAAATAGTTTTTTTTAGGATAGATTTTTCCTTTATTGAAAGTGTGGTTATGTCAGCTGAATGTGGCACACGCCGTGAGAGAAGATAAGGCAACGTTTTTTTAGCACAATTCACACACAGCGGGAAATACATTTCCAATTGCGCCACGTGAAACTTCGGTCTTCCGACCTTTTACCATCGTGTCTGTCAATTGATTTTGATTAATATGAGCGAGGGAGAGAGAGCAAGAGTGAATTGAGTGCGCGCGCGCAGCCGGGGCTCTCTCTCTGTTCCTTCTTTCAGTTAACATGCACCCTGTCACAAGCGTAGCAGTCAGTCGTCTACATTAGGCTACTCACCGATCAAATATGGCTTTGGCGGCCGACTGATGACTGAAATAGAAGCGAACTCGCGAACAGGTTGGGCAGCAAGCCAGGCCAGCCGGGTACCCAGTTTGTTTCAGCGCGCGCGAACGAACAAACACCACGTCACATGATATCGCACAGGTCCTACTCGCAACATATAAATAAATCCAGGCGAATTTTAGAACAAAGTCCTGCACTTAACACAAATTGAAACTCATAGGCCTAGTTGGATGGGGGTTCGAAAATTTACTACTTCGTCAGATGACGTTTACTACTTTTTACTACTTTTTACTGGCCTTAATTTGGCATAATTTAATTTACTACCTTTTACAACCCCGCGGAAACCCTGTACTAAAAAAAAAAAATCTTACTGACCCCAAACAAAAACTGAGATCAAGTCCATGCGTTTATTAATTTAACAGTTCAGATGAACTGACTGAAACAGACACACACTCTACCTCTACACACACACTAGCCGATCTGCTGGAGTGTTCAGCGAGGCCCGTACCTGAGTTTAGTGGGCGGCCGCACGTAAGGGTTCTCCTCCGACCCGCTGACGGCCCGGACCACCGCACTTTCCTCTGAGAGAAGACAGACACACGTCAATACAAGAGCAGACGACACACACACATCAACACAAGAGCAGACGACACACACGCATCAACACAAGAGCAGACGACACACACACGTCAACACAAGAGCAGACGACACACACACATCAACACAAGAGCAGACGACACACACGCATCAACACAAGAGCAGACGACACACACACGTCAACACAAGAGCAGACGACACACACGCATCAACACAAGAGCAGACGACACACACACATCAACACAAGAGCAGACGACACACACACACGTCAACACAAGAGCAGACGACACACACACATCAACACAAGAGCAGACGACACACACGCATCAACACAAGAGCAGACGACACACACACATCAACACAAGAGCAGACGACACACACACACGTCAACACAAGAGCAGACGACACACACACATCAACACAAGAGCAGACGACACACACGCATCAACACAAGAGCAGACGACACACACACATCAACACAAGAGCAGACGACACACACACACGTCAACACAAGAGCAGACGACACACACACATCAACACAAGAGCAGACGACACACACGCATCAACACAAGAGCAGACGACACACACACGTCAACACAAGAGCAGACGACACACACACATCAACACAAGAGCAGACGACACACACGCATCAACACAAGAGCAGACGACACACACACGTCAACACAAGAGCAGACGACACACACACATCAACACAAGAGCAGACGACACACACGCATCAACACAAGAGCAGACGACACACACACACGTCAACACAAGAGCAGACGACACACACACATCAACACAAGAGCAGACGACACACACGCATCAACACAAGAGCAGACGACACACACACGTCAACACAAGAGCAGACGACACACACGCATCAACACAAGAGCAGACGATACACACACATCAACACAAGAGCAGACGACACACACACACGTCAACACAAGAGCAGACGACACACACACACATCAACACAAGAGCAGACGACACACACACACGTCAACACAAGAGCAGACGACACACACACACACACACACACACACACACACACACACACACACACGTCAACACAAGAGCAGACGATACACACGCGTCAACACGAGCAGACGACACACACACACGTCAACACAAGAGCAGACGATACACACGCGTCAACACAAGAGCAGACGACACACACACATCAACACAAGAGCAGACGACACACACGCATCAACACAAGAGCAGACGACACACACACGTCAACACAAGAGCAGACGACACACACACACACGTCAACACAAGAGCAGACGACACACACGCATCAACACGAGCAGACGACACACACACACGTCAACACAAGAGCAGACGACACACACACACACACACACACACACACGTCAACACAAGAGCAGACGATACACACGCGTCAACACGAGCAGACGATACACACGCGTCAACACAAGAGCAGACGACACACACGCATCAACACGAGCAGACGACACACACACACGTCAACACAAGAGCAGACGACACACACACACACACACACACACACACGTCAACACAAGAGCAGACGATACACACGCGTCAACACGAGCAGACGACACACACGTCAACACAAGAGCAGACGATACACACGCGTAGGGATGTAACGATATCAAAATCTCACGGTACGATACAATTTCGATATTGACCTCACGGTACGATATTTATTGCGATATTGTGGAAAAGCTCACGGTATTGTTAAATAGCTCACGATAGTGTTTGTGATGATAATCTAAATAATAGGGCTAAGGGGAAGGGGAAGACACCCCTTAAAACCAAGAATTTTCGCGAGCTTACTTGAAACCAAGGGGTACCAAGAATGCACTGCGCAACCGGCAACAATGGCAGGCATATCATCCAGAGAGTCCCATAAATGTAAGTATTTTTGGCTTAAATGATTGATTAAAAAATTATGACAGTCTTGTTTTGTGCTCTACACAGTTATGTACATATATATTTGCAACTATGTTGTTTATTGAAATGTTTTTAACGTTTTTAAAAATCGCTAGTTTGCTACGCTAGGCTATCCTAACGTTACATTGCTGATTTGCACAATCAGTCCCACATTTCGAGATCACCCAAAATGTCCGGGATTCAGCTTTTACTTTCTACAGTCGCCATTCATTATGTGTACATTATTTGACACTGACACGTAACGTTACGTGCCAGCTTTTCAGGTGATGCATTCAGCTTCAAACGGATCCCGAACGAGACGAAAACACAGGAATATTAGCAATGCTAAAATGCACATCAACATATCACTTGTTTAGCGTTCATGTACGTCAGGAAAAAAAAAAACATCTTGTCGATTTATTTTGATTAATATGTGCGAGCCTGCGAGGGAGAGAGAGCAATACAGCGCTTAGTTTTGAGACCTTTTGAGCCTTTCGCTTGCTTGGCTCCGAAGAGAGAGAGAGAGTGCGCGCGCGCGACCGGGGCTCGCTCTCTCGCTCTCTCTCTGCTCGTTCAGGTAAACATGCGCCCTGTCACAAGCGCAGCAGTTCATCTACATTTCTCTTCTCCCTTGATTTCTGCGATTTGTTGCAGACAATAAACACACTTGCAGACGGCATCTTGGAAGTTTGTGATCCGCGGGACTGTGTTTATTCCTCTTGCTTTGTGACGGACACCTGTCCTTTTAATATTGTAACCCAACCACGACGATATCGAGACACGTTTACCACCGCGATAGCGCGATATCGTCAATATCGTTACATCCCTACACACGCGTCAACACAAGAGCAGACGACACACACGCGTCAACACAAGAGCAGACGATACACACGCGTCAACACAAGAGCAGACGATACACACGCGTCAACACAAGAGCAGACGACACACGCATCAACACAAGAGCAGACGACACACACACACACACACACGTCAACACGAGCAGACGACACACACACACACACACACACACGTCAACACAAGAAGAGCAGACGACACACACACACACGCGTACCTCGGCCCGGCTGCATGTCCCAGGCGTGCGGCGCATGAGGGTGCAGCGGGGTGGACACCAGGTGGGCGGACAGGGAGAAGTCACGCGTGTGGTTGGGACACGGCCCGACCGAGACGTTCCTCGCTCCCCACACGGCGCTCTCATCCGTCATGGACTCGGTGCTGACCGGAGTGTCCTGATAAACACAAACACCGTCCTGAGACCACTCACACTGGGGGATATCGGGTCATCTTCACATCACAAGCTGGGAGTGTAACTCGTGCACAAAACTGGAGGAATCGCAAAAAACGCTTGTGAATAAAGCAGTGTTTCAATCCCGTGTTCAACAGAACACAATCATCACTTCCTGGGAAACGGGCACAACATATCTGATAAATGGAAGTTGCTGCAATTGTTTTTAGTTTGTTTCTCCTCCATCATAAACGAGTGTGTGTCGAGCGTCAGACGAAACTCAGTAAACGCTGTCCTGTTCTCTGGCGTGCGGACGCTGGTGTTCGGGAACACACTCGTGTGTGTGAGACGCTCCTGGAGGGAATTACACCCAATCATTCTGATCACACACTTCCACTCCGGCGTTTCAGAAACACCAAACCAACATTAGAGACGCTGCGACGCCATTGGTCCACTGGTTACTGCAGTTATCCAATCACAGCCGACACTGAGTTTTTTGTTGCGCATAGAGAGATTCTCACTCGCGCTTGAATATGTTTTACACTATAAAACCTGGTGAAATATATTGCTTAACATTTAACTTCGTTATAGCTACTTAAATATATTTGCTTCTTCTTGGACTACTAAAAGTGTTCCTGCAACGGGTGTATTCTCTGGCTAGAGCAGAACAGCGGAGTGTGGACAGAAGTGCCTGAGCTTGTGTTCTGGGTTAAGCTGCGTTGCTTTGACACTGTGCAAAATAGAATAATAGAAACTAAATGTATTATCCTTTTTACCCGTTATTATCAATCTAAATTAATCTACTGCGAAATATAGGAGACTTTGAGATTTTACTGGGACGTCGCGTGAGCTGCGCTAGCCAGCCTGAAATTTGTTTTCCCAATCGCATTAATAATTTTAAATTACCTTGTTCTGTTTACAGTTTGTTTAATTCTATATTAAGGAATTTATTTTATTTTATTTAAACTGTTCGTTAATTGAAATGTGTGATGTTGTTATTGTTATCGCTACCATGTTCTTGATTTAGGCTATTACAGATCGTTCATTTATTTTCCGTTTTTCTATATTTAAATTTCGTTTTTATTTAAATTTCGTTTTTATTTATTTATTTAAATTTCGTTTTTATTTATTTAAATCTACCCTACTTTGTCAGTGAGAAAAATATTATAAGACTATATCTTATTAAAAATATTGCTTAAGTTAAAAGACCTGTGTGTGTGTGTGTGTGTGTGTGTTTTATATCACTAGTGCAGTGTCCGTTCTCGGAGCATATACAGGTCCTTCTCAAAAAATTAGCATATTGTGATAAAGTTCATTATTTTCCATAATGTAATGATAAAAATTAAACTTTCATATATTTTAGATTCATTGCACACCAACTGAAATATTTCAGGTCTTTTATTGTTTTAATACTGATGATTTTGGCATACAGCTCATGAAAACCCCAAATTCCTGTTTAAAAAAATTAGCATATCATGAAAAGGGTCTCTAAACGAGCTATTAACCTAATCATCTAAATCAACTAATTAACTCTAAACACCTGCAAAAGATTCCTGAGGCTTTTAAAAACTCCCAGCCTGTTTCATTACTCAAAACCGCAATCATGGGTAAGACTGCCGACCTGACTGCTGTCCAGAAGGCCATCATTGACACCCTCAAGCAAGAGGGTAAGACAGAAAGAAATTTCTGAACAAATAGGCTGTTCCCAGAGTGCTGTATCAAGGCACCTCAGTGGGAAGTCTGTGGGAAGGAAAAAGTGTGGCAAAAAACGCTGCACAACGAGAAGAGGTGACCGGACCCTGAGGAAGATTGTGGAGAAGGACCGATTCCAGACCTTGGGGGACCTGCGGAAGCAGTGGACTGAGTCTGGAGTAGAAACATCCAGAGCCACCGCGCACAGGCGTGTGCAGGACATGGGCTACCGGTGCCCCATTCCCCAGGTCAAGCCACTTTTGAACCAGAAACAGCGGCAGAAGCGCCTGACCTGGGCTACAGAGAAGCAGCACTGGACTGTTGCTCAGTTTTGCATGTCATTCGGAAATCAAGGTGCCAGAGTCTGGAGGAAGACTGGGGAGAAGGAAATGCCAAAATGCCTGAAGTCCAGTGTCAAGTACCCACAGTCAGTGATGGTCTGGGGTGCCATGTCAGCTGCTGGTGTTGGTGCACTGTGTTTTATCAAGGGCAGGGTCAATGCAGCTAGCTATCAGGAGATTTTGGCACACTTCATGCTTCCATCTGCTGAAAAGCTTTATGGAGATGAAGATTTCATTTTTCAGCACGACCTGGCACCTGCTCACAGTGCCAAAACCACTGGTAAATGGTTTACTGACCATGGTATTACTGTGCTCAATTGGCCTGGCAACTCTCCTGACCTGAACCCCATAGAGAATCTGTGGGATATTGTGAAGAGAAAGTTGAGAGACGCAAGACCCAACACTCTGGATGAGCTTAAGGCCGCTATCAAAGCATCCTGGGCCTCCATAACACCTCAGCAGTGCCACAGGCTGATTGCCTCCATGCCACGCCGCATTGAAGCAGTCATTTCTGCAAAAGGATTCCCGACCAAGTATTGACTATTGAGTGCATAACTGAACATAATTATTTGAAGGTTGACTTTTTTGTATTAAAAACACTTCCTTTTATTGGTCGGATGAAATATGCTAATTTTTTGAGACAGGAATTTTGGGTTTTCATGAGCTGTATGCCAAAATCATCAGTATTAAAACAATAAAAGACCTGAAATATTTCAGTTGGTGTGCAATGAATCTAAAATATATGAACGTTTAATTTTTATCATTACATTATGGAAAATAATGAACTTTATCACAATTTGCTAATTTTTTGAGAAGGACCTGTAAGCTCTGCTCGCGCTGTTCTGTCGTTTATTAAAAGTTTATTAATTCTGAACGTGTCGAGTCTCGCCTGTCTATCTATATTGACCAAATACGACACTGCACTCCCTTGTGAAGTCGTGTGGATGAACGGTTCTTGAAGTAATCAAAATGTAAATGGACAGACAGACATAGAGATTCCGAAGCTTTGAATATTCGATGTTCATTACTACCGAAGCCTCGAATATTCGATGTTCATTACTACCGAAGCCTCGAATATTCGATGTTCATTACTACCGAAGCTTTGAATATTCGATGTGCATTACTACCGAAGCCTCGAATATTCGATGTTCATTACTACCGAAGCTTTGAATATTCGATGTTCATTACTACCGAAGCCTCGAATATTCGATGTTCATTACTACCGAAGCTTTGAATATTCGATGTTCATTACTACCGAAGCCTCGAATATTCGATGTTCATTACTACCGAAGCTTTGAATATTCGATGTTCATTACTACCGAAGCCTCGAATATTCGATGTTCATTACTACCGAAGCCTCGAATATTCGATGTTCATTACTACCGAAGCCTCAAATATTCGATGTTCATTACTACCGAAGCTTTGAATATTCGATGTGCATTACTACCGAAGCCTCGAATATTCGATGTGCATTACTACCGAAGCCTCGAATAGTCGATGTTCATTACTGCCGAAGCTTTGAATATTCGATGTTCATTACTGCCGAAGCCTCGAATATTCGATGTTCATTACTGCCGAAGCTTTGAATATTCGATGTGCATTACTACCGAAGCCTCGAATATTCGATGTGCATTACTACCGAAGCCTCGAATATTCGATGTTCATTACTACCGAAGCCTCGAATATTCGATGTTCATTACTACCGAAGCCTCGAATATTCGATGTTCATTACTACCGAAGCCTCGAATATTCGATGTTCATTACTACCGAAGCCTCGAATATTCGATGTTCATTACTACCGAAGCCTCGAATATTCGATGTTCATTTCTACCGAAGCTTTGAATATTCGATGTGCATTACTGCCGAAGCTTCGAATTTTCGATGTGCATTACTACCGAAGCCTCGAATATTCGATGTTCATTACTACCGAAGCCTCGAATATTCGATGTTCATTACTACCGAAGCTTTGAATATTCGATGTGCATTACTGCCGAAGCTTTGAATATTCGATGTTCATTACTGCCGAAGCTTTGAATATTCGATGTTCATTACTACCGAAGCCTCGAATATTCGATGTTCATTACTACCGAAGCTTTGAATATTCGATGTTCATTACTACCGAAGCTTTGAATATTCGATGTGCATTACTGCCGAAGCTTCGAATTTTCGATGTGCATTACTACCGAAGCCTCGAATATTCGATGTTCATTACTACCGAAGCCTCGAATATTCGATGTTCATTACTACCGAAGCTTTGAATATTCGATGTTCATTACTACCGAAGCTTTGAATATTCGATGTTCATTACTGCCGAAGCTTTGAATATTCGATGTTCATTACTACCGAAGCTTTGAATATTCGATGTTCATTACTACCGAAGCTTTGAATATTCGATGTTCATTACTGCCGAAGCTTTGAATATTCGATGTTCATTACTGCCGAAGCTTTGAATATTTGATGTTCATTACTGCCGAAGCTTTGAATATTCGATGTTCATTACTGCCGAAGCTTTGAATATTCGATGTTCATTACTACCGAAGCCTCGAAGCTCAAAAAAATGGTGTTCGGACCAGCCCTAACGTCTTGTTATCTGGTCAAACATTTATCCACCTCGACTGAGTGCATGAGTTTTTAAATTCAGGCACATCTTGGGAGTTTCCATTCAGTGTTTATTATGCAATGTCCCAGAATTCCCACACTCACGTTGTCTTTGAACGGGGGTATTTGCGTCAGCACTCGGGTCACGGCTGGTTGGCTTCGGGCCGGATCAGAACTGCGGGACAGAACACAGTGAGACCTCTCTCTCCAGGACAGACTGAGAGAGAGAGAGTTATATCACTCACCCTCCGCTCTCCTGCTCGTCTCGGTCCTGGTAGATCATGAACGGAGTCGTGCCGGCTGCCGTAACACACGAGGGGGCGCTAGCTGAACACACACACACACACACACACACACACACACACACACACACACACACACACACACACACACACACACTCACAGTCAGAGGGTCAGAGGGTTTTGAAATCAGATTACTCAATCATCAAAATAAATGGTTGATTATTTGATTGCAGACCTAGTTCTGATTGATCAGTTATTAGTTATTTCCAAAGGCCTGACGATTAGTGCTGTTGCACTTTACAAGCATGATCAAACCCTTATTTAATCTTGGCCAAATTACAGTAAATTCAAAAGATATATCACTTCATCCACATCTTCATGACTAATTATGGCTAATTTCTTTAACATCACACACGATGACATAAAAACATATAAAGTCAAAGAGGGGTTTGGACTTTTTTGGACAATTTGAATAGAAACAAATTGATGTATTCATGTTTTAATTAACTAATTATGACCAGAGTAATCAGAACGTGATTAACCAAACAAGATGTAACAAACAACTATGATTGGGATTTTGAACCAATAAGTTTTTTAAAGTGTCAAGCGCAGTTGTCAGGAGGCTGGTTAAATATATATAGCTATATATATTTACACAAATATCTCTTGAATCCAGGAACTATCCATTTAAATCAGTCCAATGACTCCCTAAAGGGGGGATAGAGAATTATATAAAGCTAAAGTGCAAACAAAGCCCTGACGACTGCCATCATTACACTGACAACACGTGGAAGCCTGAGGAAGTGTGTGTATGATGATGCTTACGAGACATGAGAACGATCTGACACAGCATTAGATGAGTTAGAGGTGTGTGTGTGTGTGTGTGTGTGCTCTCAGAGCAGGACGTACTGATTCTGCAGCTCTTCTCGAAACTGTCCTCCGGCTGAACGATGCTGTTGAACATGGACTCCTGGAGGAGGGTGGGTGCCTGAAACATGTCCATGATCACACCTGCAGGAACACACACCAATGACAACAGCAATACGGAAACAATACCAGCAGTGCACCAAATTAATCAACACACTTTACTTTTTTTCTTTTTTTTAATGAAAAAGCTCTGTAAAGCTCCAGTTGTCCTCTATATCAGTGTCAGTGTTTCTGAACTCCTGAAACGCCTCCATTGTAGTCTTGAGTTTCTTCCGGGAACGAACACGTCACAACATTCCTCATTATAATAATTCATGCGCAGAATAAAGGGGTGGGGCCTGGTTGAGTTAGTTAGTAGTGTGTTAAACTGGCGGTTATGGTAAGAGGCGGGACATTTCCCAAATACACTCTAAGCGCTCGACCAATCACAACACACTGCTCCAGCTGACCAATCAGAGCAGTGTGTGCTTTTCAGAAGGAGGGGCTTCATAGAGACAGGACGCAAACAGAGCGTTACTGACAGACTGGGAAGAGAGGAGCCGCAACAATGGAGAATAGGGCTGAAACGATTCATCGAGTTACTCGATTACAAAAATACCTCGAGGCAAAAACTCTGCCTCGAAGCCTCGTTAAATTCCTATGACGCGCACTATACGCGCAGGGATACTATACAATAGCGCGTGATACATTTTGAATTTAGTTGGCGCGATGGCGGAGAGTAAAAATGTCCATAAACGGCAGAGAATGTCTAAAGTTTAGGATCATTACATACTTAAAAAGGAAGAGAACAAGGTGCAATGTGTCTACTGCAAAGTAGACCTGGCATACCACAACAGTACGACTTCAATGATTCAGCATCTGAAAACATCCACTCCATGCTGTCTCACCAAGCGTCGCTGAAACAACGGTTCACACCGGACGCGGATAGAGCGTCAAATACGCGTTTATCGCGTCTACGCTTGAACATTCGCTCGAGTTAAAATTTTTCAACTTGTGCGGAACACGTTCGCGGCAAACGCGTCTCCCAATTCGCATCAGTCTCGACGCCCGGCGCCAATGATGCGTCTATTCGCGTCTTTGCATTGACTTTGTATGTAATCTACTCGCGCAAATAATAAAATTTTCGCTTGGTGTGAACCTATGATACATTGATGTTCACTGGTTTTAATCCCATACTGTATTTGTTGCGATGTCGTGATGCGATTTGACTAGATATGATGTTTAGCTTTGATGTTTTTAAGTAGTAAACCTATTCACGTTCAATTGCAAGAGAGTAAAGCCTAAAAAAGAACCCCTTCACACAGACACACACACGCACGCACCCTCGTCTCTCTCACGCACCAGTCAGACCAATTGCGGCAATGCATCACATATGCTTAAACTTTTATGTAGCCACGCAACAATAATTTCAGCATGCATTCACTGTATACACCGGGACGTGATGGAGGAATTATCAGTATTGCAGTCTTTGCGAGACCTTGTTTGTATGTCACGTCTTCCAAATAGTTACAGACAACAACAAAAAATGAAATTCCCCAGCCTGCTTCTCCAAATCCACTCGTACTTTTGGGGAAGACATTTTAATCGGCTACCAAAGTAATTGAGCATAGAACATTGTTGGCACTTATACTAAATGGGTAAAAATTGCAATAAATAGGCTTAGTTTTGGAGCCAAATGTTGGAGTTGGAATAAATACCAGTTTTTTTGCTGTGTTTTTGATAAATAAAAGCCAAATGCTTGATCATTTTACAGCCACATCATTTCGTTATGCATTATTTGTTTTGGTTGTTTAAAAACACTAAAAAAAGTTTATCCGATTACTCGATTAATCGATCGATTAAGTGCTAGATTAATCGATTACAAAAAGAATCGATAGCTGCAGCCCTAATGGAGAATATGAGGAGAATAATCAACATTCAAGCAGGAAAACCTGTTCTAGTAGAGCCTGAAACTACAGCAAGACTCTGAGAGAGGGCAGAACAAGTCCTCTTTAACCCTTGTGCATCAATTATAAAAAAGTGTCACGCAGGTCCATAACATGTGAAGCATCCAGACCCACATGTGGCCCAAGTGAACATGTGATCTCAAGCTTTGAATCAGGTGTGTGTGTGTGTCTTACCCAAAGCCTCACGTGTGTTGACAGTGGGAGAAGGGAGAACACGGGACGGTGTGGCCTGAACGAAGCCCAGAGAGGAGTTTGGAGTAACATGAGAGTGATTGAAAGCCCCATATGATGCTGAGAGAGAGAGAGAGAGAGATAGTGAGTGAGTGCACTTCCAGCAGCTCTACAGGAGCGAGAGGAAATGAGGAGAAATACTCACTGTCTGTAACATTTTCATCCGCATCTCCCTGATCACACGCAGCACTGCAGACACACAAACACACAAACACACACGTTACAACCGCATCGAATCATCATTCATCTCTCAATACTTTATAGTTCAAACTTTTCAACTTGCCAAGTATTCTTATACTTTCAACGTAGTGCATTCGGTTTCTCTTTAAATAAACTAACAAAAACATACATGTCAAAATGTTTCCTAATGTTTCCGCACATCAGGAGGTGATATTCTTCACTGAGCACTTCCTCTCTGTTCAAACAGGAGACGCACATCAGAGTCACTTCAGTGAACACTAGAGTCCTCACTTTGAGCAAATAGTTTGTTCAGTGAACCACTTTGATTTTTAAAACACTGGACTGTTCTTTTTCACCTGCTGTATTGACCTCACAACCGAGGCAGGCACAGAGCAGTGTGTGTGTGTTACAGAGGATGTTGCGTATGACACTCACAGATCTGTGTTCTCGAGGACAGTCATGTGTTGTGTGTGTGTGACACTCACAGATCTGTGTTCTCGGGGACGGTCATGTGTTGTGTGTGTGACACTCACAGGTCTGTGTTCTCGGGTTGGGTGCAGTAGCTGCTCTGGATCAGGGATGCTGTGTGTCTCTCTGACGGCTGGTGTGTGTGTGTCCTCAGACTCTCTCTACAGTGGAGCGCTGCGCTGGGGAACGGCTCCGTCAGTGAGCGGCTGGTCTCTGTCCCAGCATGCCCTGCGGTCTCAGAGCGCAGCTGCAGTCCAGTGTGAGGTCTGGAGAACGACACTGGCTCGGCTGCTGTCTGACTCTCCTGCACATCATCATCATCATCATCATCATCATCATCATCACACACACTCTGAAAGCACTTCTCACTGTAACCGAGCTCACGGGTGGGGAAATGCAATATCAGTCAAGTACTTTTTTCTTTTAACAATACACAATGTTTTAAAACAGCCTTACAGAAAATCATGGTGTTAATTTTGTTTATAAGATCTCAGTCTTCATGCCTTATAGTCACATTATGCAGATTACAGCTGAGCAGGGCAATATTCTGTGGTGATGTAAACAATCCAGCAGTTGAGATTTGCTATATAGTACATCAATACTGACCTGATATTAACTAATAATAATAAAAACATATTTTATAGGTGACTTTTCATGATCCATTCAAAGTAACTCACACTAGAGCTGAACGATTCTGGATAAATTGAGAATCACAATTTTTTGGGGGGTTAAAATAGAGATCACGATTCTGAATAGACAACTAAACACATTCTGACAAAAAGATATTAATTGCTCAGCCAGGTTTGAAAATAAATAATTTTTTTTAATTGGTTTGAATGAATGATTTAATGGCTCACTCTAAGACTTGACTTCTTTCATAACTGGATGAATCAGCGTTTTTGAAGAAATCTCTTTAATGCGTGATTCAATGACAAGTCATGTGTCGCATCTCCTGGTATAATGATGTAATCGACCTATTCTGATCATTACTGTAGACATCAGTGTTTATATCTGAACTATTAACTTAATCCAGTACTTCAGTGATAATCTGAGTTACTGTAGGACAGAAATACTGATACTGTGATGTTGTTAGACTGTCTCTCGGGGTCAGATCTGAATGTTCGCACTTGTCTAAGCTTTAATAGACAGATAAAGCGTGGTCATTTAGGAATAAGATCATGTGGGTGTGTGAATCGAGATCGGCATCTTTTAATGACACCTCACATTTCTGATGCCAGTGTGTGTAAAGAGGGACAGGCACAGAAGTGTTCATGCGGAGCATGTCGGTCAGGAGGAGATGTCTGGGTCTGTACCGTAAGAGTCACTGGGTTCAGAGTCACGTTCTTCTCCAGATCCTCCAACAGCTGCTTCATCTTCCTCACCTCCTCCTCCTCTTCCCAAAGCCTGCGCTGCTCCTCGGCTGATCAAACAACACATTACAACCGCAGCACTGCGTGTGTGTGTGTGAGGTTCATCACTGAACAGAAACGGTGCAGCTCCTGCAGTGTGTAACTGAATGTGTGTGTAAAGTGAAGGTCTTCTCCTCACCCAGTCGCCGCTGCTCTTCCTGCTGTCTGCGTTTAGTGAAGTAGCGTCTGGCTCGGAGCTCCTCGAAGGACAGCTCGGACCCCTCACACTGCAGCTCTTTCACACAGTACATGGACACACACTCCACACCACTGCTGCTGGCCGGCCGGATCGGGTTATTCTCCGAGCGCGAGATTCTGAGGAACAACAACACCATCATCTTCATCTTCATCTCCAGAGCCCCTGCACAGGCCTCTACTGAACACACACAGACAGGCTGAGTCTGAGACTCACTGTTGAACATGAAGTCCATGTCACACACACTTACATGCGCACCATTCGAGGAGCAGGAGAGGCTTCTGGATCCTGCAACAGAAACGCCTCAGTTCACTCTGCAGTTTCATGGATTATAACATGAGTGAACAAACAGTTAATGAAGTCTTGAGCTTTCGAGCTTCAAGAAAAACACAAAAGCACTATGAGAGTAGCAGCACTTTACTCCAGGCGTCTGAAGTCATACGAGGCTTCATGTGTTATGCACTGATCGTTTTCTGTTGACCAATGAACTGGATCACGGAGTTCAACTCAAGAGCCAGTCCAATTCATCAACAAATCATTCAGAACTGGATCAACTGATTCATTAAAGAAAGTCGATTCAAAAGAATCGTTTGCTCATGAATGAATCGAACATTGCTGCTTTTCTCACGATCATGCCAAAGAGAGCTAGACAACAAGATATTCAGTAAATAACAAATATGGGTCTGATTCTCACACAAAGCCTCATGTGACTTCAGAAGAGTTGAAGTACAGTGCATGAGTCTATATGACTACTGGATATGCACATGTACAGCTATGATTCTGTTGCGTGAAAGTGAATTTTACTTGCCCGACCGGACAAGCTTGATTAACATCAATAATGAACTGCGTATAAAATTCAAAAGCTTTAAAAGAGGATGCAGAACAAAAGCCTCATGAAATAAGCCCATGTGACTCGTGCTGCATATTTGAAGTGTTCTGAAGGTATTCGATTCAGTTCGGTGAAAAACAAAGCAAAAGATCATGTATTATTTAACAGAACTCTTGAGCTCAGCTTCTGCTCTCCTGCATAAGGAAAAGCACACAATGCAATTAATCACATTTTGCCCCACAATAACTGTATTACTGACAAATGCTTTGGTAATATCAGTGTTTCCTCTAGGATTTTTTTAACCGTGGTGGCAGGCCCATTTCCCCAGGGGGCGTGGCCCTGGCCCATGAGTGATATTCCCATTGGCCACGCCCCCTTGCCCCAGGTGTTTAAACCTCCCCTAAGTATTATAATATGAAAGTCTCCAATAAGAGCGGCAAAGCGATTATGCGCATCCCGTGCGCAGAGTGATGCACTTGAAGCAACGCGAAGTCACAGCGCACAGCGCTTCGCATTGAAAAGTTCAAAGCACAAAGCGAAAAGATTATATAGGGATTAAAGTGAAAAACATTCCTGAGCCTGAATTTTTGTGTGTGGGGGGGGGGGTGTGTGTGTTATCTTCAATGGCACTATTTTGGCACCACGTATTACAGATGTATCTTAAATGGCATCTTTTTATGAATGAAGGCCAGTATTACTAATATTATAGCTACTGATATCTCGATGAAAATGATTTTCCCCAACATTTTAAACATTTATTAGACTTATAATTTAAGTGAACTTAAAACAATCCTCACTTAAACCCATAATAAATGTCATATTTACCTGTGCCATACAGAAATTGAATATGGTTATAAAACAGTCCGCACTGCATAAATTATAAATGAAATATAGATTAATCCTTATCAAAGCTACAAGCGTTCTTTAGTCAAGAGCAGTGAGTAATTTTCTCTGTTCCCTCTGTTCTTTAGGTTAACTTTACTGACAGACAGAATTAATGGCTCCTGTCACTTTAAGATCTGCCGCTGCTGACAGGATCTCATGCATCTCATTCTCTTACTACTATTTACTTCCATTTAAGATTTTATTTAACTCATTTAACACAGTTCTTGTGAGGATACTCGACAAAACGGACATTTTGGCATAAGTGTGTTATTGTTCGTTCAAGTGCGAAAGAGAACTCGATACTGGCGCGCGTCTTTCTGTGCGTCGTGTGTGTGTGTGTGTGTCAGGAGGACATTCACTGACGGCGCGTCTTGTCGCGCATGATGAATGCATGGTTTAAAGCATTTGCGTGAATAAGAGCGTGATCATAATCCTAGCTAAAGGATGACAGAAAGAACGGATGCTGCGTTAATTGCAAAGCTGGACAAAAATGAATCGCATGCGTTAACATTGACAGCACTTGTCATACATTGCTGACAGAAAATATTGCAGCTTGAAGTGGACTCGTTTTTATGGTAGGCCTAACGTTACACCGAATGTTTTTTTAGTAAGCTACACAGAATGTTCTACATTAAATATTTAGCTAACAGTCTGAAGTTACCCATTATCCTGACCTGAGCTAATTTCCTGAATCAACCAACTCACATCTCCTTTCTTTCTTTTCATCCATGATGACATTAGTCACCTGTTATTGTTTCTGGCGTTTCATCACTGACTGTGTCGCAATCCATTTTTTTTACAGTCTATGGTCGCAACCGCTATACTTGCTCATTAGAACTTTCAGTGAGCTATTTTACACAGGCTCGGTCCTGCTCCTCCGTGGCAATGACGGCGTGCGGTTAAAAATGATAATCGAATTTGAAAGTGGGGGGGGGGGGGGGGGGGCATGTCCCCCTTGTCCACATAGGAAATTACGCCGGTGGGTAGGACATCATCCCCAGGCTTCATGAACTTGCGCTCCATGCTTTCACCGACGACGCTAACGTGACGTGTGGATCTCAATCACACTGTGTTGCCAGGACCCGCCCTGCTCTGCTTCTGATAGGCTTGTAACGTTAGTTAGAGCTGCGTTCCTCTCATATGATTGGTAGGTGAAATCAATTGACTCGAAAATATTAAACTGCATGCAAGTTCCCTTTTTTTTTTGTCCTCACGGCCGCATGCCGGAGATCCGGCACGGTGCCGGAATACTTTAAGCCCTGGATTATATCTATCTATGCTTAATGTATTATATCTATGCAACAGTTTATTGAGCCTTTTCTTTTAACAGTTTTAAATTTCAGTTACAGTGTGCATGAAGAACAATTCATAGCGCTCTCTACTCCAGTGCTGTAAAAGACACCCGGGAGAAAGGAATATGATTTAGAAAGTAGGGCTGTCACTTTACGTTCGAAAATCGATTGCACAATCGATCGGACCAACCAACACAAGTATCGAAAGCGAAAATAGGGAATCGATTTTAACCTCGCCTTTTTTTCTTTTTCTTACCAAAAATGTGTTTTAGGTGGACAGATCAATACAGTACACAGAACATGTAGGATGTTGGAAAATAGCAGTGTCTTTTCTGTTCACCAAATGCTTTTTAATATTCGCTATTACTTCAATGCAAGTGAGCAAGCGCGCCGTTATTTGTTCCTTAGTGACGTGTGTGTGTGTGTGTGTCTCCTTGGGTTGCCACCTTGGGTGCTCTCCTTGGGTTGCCACCTTGTCGTGGTGGAGAGCCTTGCGTGTTCCGATGAACCTGAGAGCAATGCCGTCTGGAGCTTAAGCTCCTGGTAGGGTCACCCATGGCGGTAAGGTCGAGGGGGAGGTTCCAGACAAAGAGTGACCCAAAGGGATATACCATCATACCTCAACAGAGAAGGAAAACTGTACAGACTCCATCACCACTGCCTTGTGGTTAGCTCCAGGGAAAGCAAAAGGCTAAGGGAGTAAACCCCAACAGAAAATCAGGAGTGGAGCCCCTTTGGCGGATGGTGAAGGAATTTGTCACCATCCGGCAACTCCTGCAGCTGCGCTGACACTGACTGTATTGGCTCGCCTTTCTGCCAGATCCTGCCAGCAAAGCTGAGAGGGGGGTCCTGACATCTGGGCAACCCAGGATCTCCATATTATTAGCCCAGGCCTGCACCTGGAGAGGTCACTCCAGCTGCACTGTTTCAGTGCAGAAACAACACGGGGAGCAGCAGTCTACCAGTGATAAGTCATGGCTCATTTGGCGTCGAGCCAGGCGCTAGGGGTTGCTCCCGACGGTGGGAGGAACCATCGTGTTCCATTGGGTCGTTACCGCCCGCCTTAACCCGGGCAGCCCCCGGGCAGTTAGGTACTACCCCGCCACAACCTGCTTGCTTCAGCGGGTGCATGGAGCTTAGACAAAATCGACAGGCAGGTTGTAAAACCCAGCACCAGGAAATTGGAATGTCAGAACATTGTGCCCCGGCCTCTGTGACGATCTTCAGCAAGCCGACGACGCTAGAAAAACCGCTATCATCAATAACCAGCTGTTAAGGCTCAACATCGATGTTGCCGCCCTTCAAGAGACACGTCTTCCATCCAGTGGAAGTCTAACGGAGAGAGATTACACTTTCTTCTGGCAAGGACTGGAGCAAGACAAGCGCCGACTCTATGGGGTCGGCTTTGCAGTGCGAAATTTTCTCTTACCATCAGTAGAACCTCCTTCTCAGGGGACTGAGCGTATCCTCACCCTCCGTCTCACAACCTTCTCGGGACCCTTGCACATCTTCAGCGTCTACGCCCCCACACTATGCTCCACAGCTGAGGATAAAGATGCTTTCTATTACGAACTTAAGGCTAAAATCGCGGAGCTTCCACCGAAAGACAACCTGTTCAGCTCGGAGACTTCAATGCCCGGGTGGGCGCTGACTACATCTCCTGGCCACAATGCATTGGACATTTTGGCGTTGGCAAGCTAAATGAGAACGGACAGCGACTACTTGAGCTATGCTCTTACCACAATTTGTGCATTACCAACACCTTCTTCCCCACTAAGCCCCACCACAGAGTGTCTTGGAGACACCCCAGATCCAAACACTGGCACCAGCTTGACCTTATTGTTACTCGGAGACCCATGCTCAAGCACGTGCTCGTCACCTGCACGTATCACAGTGCTGACTGCGACACGGACCATTCCCTGGTCAGCAGTAAGGTGCGTTTTCAACTTAGACGAGCCCACCGCTCGAAGCAGAAGGGCCGCCCTCGCATCAACACGGCAAGAACATCAGTGCCAGAGCTGCGGGAATGTTTCGCCAGGACCATTGATGAGGCCCTGGAGAACTGCCCTGTAGACAGTGTTACAACGCGATGGGAGTACATCCGTGACACCGTGTATAAGGTCGCCTCAGACACCTTTGGGAAAAAGGTGCAAAAGAGTGAAGATTGGTTTGTGGCAGGGATCGAGGTGCTGGAGCCTGCCATCACTGCAAAACGTACCATTCTCCTTGAGCACAAGAGACAGCCTTCTGCAAGGACGTTGGCTGCCCTCAGAGAGGCACGTAATAACACAAAGAGGATTGCCCGAAAGTGTGCGAACGACTACTGGCTGAAGTTGTGTGGCGATATTCAGACTTCGGCAGACTGTGGTAATATCCGAGCCATGTATGAAGGCATGAAGAAAGCGTTTGGTCCCAATGCCATCAAGACTGCTCCCCTAAAATCTACTTCCGGCGAGATCATCACAGATCGCTGAAAGCAGTTGGAGAGATGGGTTGAGCACTACCAGGAACTGTACTCAAGAGAGAACATTGTTGCTGACACAGCCATTCGAAATACCATGCCTCTGCCCATCATGGAGGAGCTTGACTCGCCACCCACCATCGAGGAACTTGGGAAGGCCATCGATTCACTGGCCTGTGGGAAAGCACCAGGCAGTGATGGAATTCCACCAGAGATTATCAAGGCAGGAAAGGGGAGCTCTCTTCTTGGCCACCTCCACAACCTCCTGCTCAAATGCTGGGAAGGGGGCATTATACCCCAGGACATGCGAGACGCTAAGATCCTGACGCTTTATAAGAACAAGGACGATCGCAGTGACTGCAATAACTATCGTGGGATCTCCCTCCTCAGTGTTGTGGGGAAAGCCTTTGCACGTGTCATCCTTAACCGCCTACAACTGCTCGCCGATCGTGTGTACCCAGAGTCGCAATGCGGGTTCCGAGCAAAACGGTCAACAATTGACATGGTGTTCACCCTTAGGCAGCTACAGGAGAAGTGCCGTGAGCAGAGACGTCCTCTGTTCCTTGCCTTCATAGACCTGACCAAGGCGTTCGACATGGTCAGTCGGACTGGCCTCTCCACTCTCCAACACAGGATTGGATGCCCCCCCAAGCTCTTGAAGTTGATTATATCATTTCATGAGAATACGATGGGCACAGTCCAGTATGGCGAGTCATCCTCAGTAGGGCTGGGCAAAAAAATAGATTTTTCTATTAATCGTTTTTTTAAATGTGGTCGATTCAAAATCGATTCTCAACGGCCACGAATTGATTTTTTCCATATTCAGGGCTCGCGTGCTGCGTCTTCTCACTCTGCACAAGGCAAGCGTCAAGCGCTGCAGGCGTCGATACACACTCGTGTTTAGGAGTCGGGACATGATTCACTTGCACAATCGGGCCAGCATTGCATCGTAACTAACGTTTATCATTTTCACGTCTTTTTTGGAGCAATTTTAAACTATCCTGTGCTCGCGCACTCGTGCATGTTTTTCATTGCGTGCAGCCTAAATCCGCCTCACAACAAACAGCTCGCCAGTAACAAAAGTTCTTTTTCGTGGATTATATCGCTTTAACAGTTAAAAACACGCAAAATGATGCCAAAACTCTGTTGTCTTAAATAAGCATAAAACGCGTGTGACAGACAGTATAATGAAACAGTAATGGATCCGTGCAGTAGTTCTTAAAGTGAACGCAGCTATATGTGTCTGTCATTAATTTTGTTGTCAAAACAACATAATATAGCATTAATTGTAAGGAATCAGAATTAATAGCCTATGTATTTAATTCAGTCAGGACTAAAAGACTATCCAGTGTTATTTTACATTGGATTACTTTATTCAGTTTCTGTAGTATTTCTGACCTACCCAAAAACTTTTCTTTTTATGTCTCTTTATTTGTCTTTTTAGGCCTATTCTATTGTATTTATTTGTGCTACTTTTTTCAATTTAATTCAAAGATTGAAATCAAGCTTCCATGTGTTGCATAAACTCTTAACAAAAAAATTACCCCATTGTAAAAACAAACATTTAGGTGAGATCAATGTAATAAAAAATTGTCTAAAAAATGATAACTGATATTTAGACTGAGATTTGTATTTCATCTATATTCATTATAGTCGAATCGAGAATCGAAATCGAATCGAACTGTGAGCTTGTGATTCGAAATCGAATCGAATTTGAACATCTGAATCGATACCCAGCCCTAATCCTCAGACCCTTTTCCAATCAAGTGCGGTGTGAAGCAGGGGTGTGTTCTGGCGCCAACACTTTTTGGCGTGTTCTTCTCCCTGCTCCTGCACTATGCCTTCTGCAACTCTGAAGACGGGATCTTCCTCCATACTAGGAGTGACGGGAACCTTTTCAACCTTGCCCGCCTCAGAGCAAAGACTAAGGTCCGCAGGGTACTCATGCGGGAGATGCTGTTTGCAGATGATGCTGCTATTGCTGCACACACTGAGGGTGGCCTCCAGCGACTTATCACCTGTTTTGCAGATGCATGCACAGAGTTTGGCCTTGCCATCAGTATCAAGAAAACCAAAATAATGGTGCAAGATGTCAACACCACTCCTGAAATCACTATCAGCGACCACACCCTGGAGGTAGTGGAGAATTTCACATACCTTGGCTCCACCATCTGCAGCAACCTATCCTTGGATACTGAGCTCAATATAAGGATAGGCAAAGCAGCCACCGCCATGGCTCGACTAGCAAAGAGGGCTTGGGATAACACTATTGATGCGTCTTGAGCACCGTACTCTATGACAGTGAAGCTTGGACTCTATATTCTCGCCAAGAGCAAAGACTGAATGCTTTCCATATGCGTTGCCTCAGACGACTCCTGAGCATCACCTGGCAGGATCGTAACACAAACATAGCCATCCTGGCCCAGGCAGGTATGCCAAGTATGTTCACCATCCTTACACAGAGGCGACTGTGCTGGCTTGGTCACCTGTGCAGGATGGATGATGGTCGTATCCCAAAGGACGTTCTGTACGGGGAGCTTGCCACAGGAACACAACCATCTGGACGGCCAACCCTGCGCTACAAGGACGCCTGCAAGCGAGACTTGAAAACGTGCAGCATCTGTCCGGCTGATTTGGAAGCAGTGACATCGGACCGCGAAAATTGGCGTTCCACCGTTAAGACTGGTGTCCTTTTAGCCGAAGAAAAAAGAGCAATGCAGTGGGAGGAGAAGAGGACTCGCCGGCAGCAAAGCGTTCAGCCTGTTCCCATTGACATCACCACTGCTTACACCTGTAGCAAGTGCCACCGGTGCTGTCGCTCCCGTATCGGACTCTACAGTCATAGTAGAGTCTGCAACCAAACCACAGACTGACCTGGGTGCAGATTCTAAACCATTGTCTCTCGAAGACAGAGGGATGCCAACAAGTGACGTGTGTGTGTGTGTGTGTTCAAATAAGCCAGAAATGCGCAGATTCTGCGCAATACGCTTTATTTAATATATCATGAGGACTCACGAGTTGCGTATTTGCGCTAAATCCACGCAGATTTGGCTTACATGAACTTCCCCAGCAAAGTAAACAAACATAGAAACACGCCAGATTGGTTAGTGATTTGACAGCGTTTACCGCCAAAGTTCATTTTTACCCGCATTTGGCGGGTTGGAGGGTGTTAATTTACATCCCTGAATGTTGCACTCCTGTTTGTCATTGTGCACGAAACTTCACGCCAATAAATCATCAGAAATGATTTTTGTGCGCGTCTCAAGCGCGCCCACGCTCGTCCTAATAATGCCTGTTAGGTGTCCGTGGATTTGCCTATATTTTGTGTTGAAAATGGAAACGTCTTTAGACATGGAAAATCGATTTTACAATCGATTCAATGAACACTTATGTCTCAAAAATCGAACAGGATTTTTTCACAAAAGTGACAGCACTATTAGAAAGCGCTATAAATTCCAGCAAGATAAAGTCATTTTATGCAAAGTGCAAACCATAGACCTTTATCTACAAATAAAGAATAATAATGGGAACATTGATCTTGAAGAGAGTGTCGTCGTGTTACTGTCGTAACCAAACACGACGTGCTGTTTGAATGCTGAATGGAGAATGACTGAGGAGAGATGAGTATCCATTAACTTTAACTTAAAGACTTAAATATTCATTTTTACCTCACATTATGCTATTGAACAACTTTAGAAGTCTTGGAATATAGTGCGAAAACTTTATGGTGCTTTACAATGTTTTTTTATGCCTTTAGCTTAACAATAACACAATAGTAGCCTATACACAATATCAGAGCTCACTGAGAAGCTGCAGCCGTGGCGGGATGATTTTAGGTGTGGCGGCCCGCCACGGCAGAATGAATGTAGCGGAAACACTGTAATATAGACGTAACGTGCAGAAATGACAGAGTGCAGTGTTATTCGAAGTTCCCAGGTTCCAGACTAACACTTGAGCAGACGTGGACAGTACCTTGCTCTGCGGCTGAACATCTCTCTGCCGGGGGGTTTGATTGACCAGCTGTGAGTTCTGCAGCGGCTGCCGCACGTGATCTGAGTGATGAAGAGGAGGAAGAGTGAAGATCACAGCACAGAGAGTGAGGAAGAGGAGGAAGAGTGAAGATCACAGCACAGAGAGTGAGGAAGAGGACGACGAGTGATGAAGAAGAGAGTGACAAGTGAGGCAGAGAGTGAAGAGTGAGGACGAGTGTGAGGAAGAGAGTGAGGAAGAGGACGAGTGTGAGGAAGAGGACGAGTGTGAGGAAGAGAGTGAAGAGTGAGGAGGACGAGAGTGAGGAGGACCAGAGTGAGGAGGAGGACCAGAGTGAGGAGGACGAGGGTGAGGAGGACGAGAGTGAGGAGGACGAGAGTGAGGAGGACGAGAGTGAGGAGGACGAGAGTGAGGACGAGTGTGAGGACGAGTGTGAGGACGACCAGAGTGAGGAGGACCAGAGTGAGGAGGACCAGAGTGAGGAGGACCAGAGTGAGGAGGACCAGAGTGAGGAGGACCAGAGTGAGGAGGACGAGAGTGAGGACGAGAGTGAGGACCAGAGTGAGGAGGACCAGAGTGAGGAGGACCAGAGTGAGGAGGACGAGAGTGAGGACCAGAGTGAGGAGGACCAGAGTGAGGAGGACCAGAGTGAGGACGAGTGTGAGGACGACCAGAGTGAGGAGGACCAGAGTGAGGAGGACAAGAGTGAGGAGGACCAGAGTGAGGAGGACCAGAGTGAGGAGGACGAGAGTGAGGACCAGAGTGAGGAGGACCAGAGTGAGGAGGACCAGAGTGAGGAGGACCAGAGTGAGGAGGACCAGAGTGAGGAGGACGAGAGTGAGGACGAGTGTGAGGACCAGAGTGAGGAGGACCAGAGTGAGGAGGACCAGAGTGAGGACGAGTGTGAGGAAGAGAGTGAGGAGAACGAGAGTGAGGACGAGTGTGAGGACCAGAGTGAGGAGGACCAGAGTGAGGAGGACCAGAGTGAGGAGGACCAGAGTGAGGAGGACCAGAGTGAGGAGGACCAGAGTGAGGACGAGTGTGAGGAAGAGAGTGAGGAAGAGAGCGAGGAGGACGAGAGCGAGGACGAGTGTGAGGACGAGAGCGAGGAGGACGAGAGCGAGGAGGACGAGAGCGAGGAAGAGTGTGAGGACGAGAGCGAGGAGGACGAGAGCGAGGAGGACGAGAGCGAGGAAGAGTGTAAGGTTACTGTACCTGATGCTGCAATGTGAGTGTTCGCCCGTCCCTGGAAGAGCCTGTAAGCACAGCACAGAGAGGAGGGAGTGAAGAAGAGTGTGATGAAGAGGAGGAAGAGTGAAGGAGTTTGACCATCATCACGGCTGATGTGCTGCAGTGACGCTCAGGAAACGGTCATGGGTCACAGTAGAATCATAGGGTCTGTTTCAACGATCCAGCACCTTATTACTATCGCATTTTACTACTTTTAGTCTGATCGCATTTTAATTTTTCGTGAAGTTTTTTGAATAAATAATGACAACAACAATGTTGTTTTCGTCAACGATGACGAAATGATTTCGTTGACGCACTTTTTTTTTTATGACGATAACGCGACGATGACTAGCTAAAAATTAGGGGTGTCCCCGACTAAGGATTTTCATAGTCGAATCAGATTCGTCAAGTCCTGCCTATAGTCGACTAATAGTCGAATCATGTGTGTGGTGTTGGGGAGGGGGCGGGGCTTTAACATTTTAAAGCCGCGATGTACAGAACATCACACAAAGATATAGAAGAAAATGTATAAAAAGATTTTGGATCAATAAAACTAAGAAATAACATAAATAACTGCAGAAAGGCCACACTGCAGATAGGATTTGCATTTCACATGCAAATCAAATTAAATCGGCTGAATTGCCTGTACGAGCATGCTCTAAGTAAGCCTACAGCGCAACATCAATGCACTGAAAAATAATCAACAATTAAGAACACAATATACATTTATAATAAATAAAAATACAAAACGAAATAAGTCAGAATCAAGTCACAAGAAGCAGAACAAATGTGTGCAAAATGCCTAAAGTGCAGGGGAACAAATATTCAAAACACAAGTCACAAATAGTTAAATTAGATCACCCTGAGTGATCAATTAATAAAATAAAAATAAAGAAATTATTAAAATAACGAAAGTATGTCCAGGATTGTCAACTTTGTCTTTTTAACTGCAGAAACAACAATAAACGCTAAACTGGAGCGGCAGTCTTTTTAGCTAAACGTGCTCACAGTATCCAAAAATCAAATTAGAACCGGCTGAAATGTTTTGAAATCACTTGTACCCATACCTGATCGAGAAAACAAAATCCAGTCTTTCACTCGGCCTGTGTCCGTTTGAGTCTTTTCAAATTGTGTGCGCGGATAAAATACATTCTAAAACGCTTGACGTGAAAAACGCTTAACGTGAAAAACGCTTAACGGTCCTAAAACTGTTATATTAAAAGATCAAATTCTGTACACACCTTATTAATAAAGCATATTATATAGCCTACAGAAAAGCAGATGAGCCCAGAATATGAACGCAATGCGTTTTATTATTGGCTACGTTAAGCATTTTCCTCCCATAGAAAACCGTTAAAGAAAAAGCTTTACGTGACTTTCTATAGGAGAAACGCGTTGCGTTCATATTCTGGGTTCATCTGCTTATCTGCACATAGAATGGTTTCTTAAGGTGTGTAGCCTACTGTGTACATACATTAAGCACGTAAAAGTGCCATTTAAGCGTTTTAAAAGCTTTTTTCACGTTAAGCGTTTTAGAACGTCCCGAGGAAAACCAACCTGTTAACGTTGGCCGGCAGAAGTGCGATCATGGTTTTCCTGATGCTAAATCCAGCCTTGGAGAATATCCTTTCTGATGGTGTGCATCTTTAGATTTTCTTATCCCAGACATTTTTAAAGATTTAAATCCCTGCCGACAAGACGCTCCTCTGTCGGTCACGGATCGAAAGTGAAACTTAAATCTGTCACGGGGTGTTTGGATTTATTCACGCTGCACGCACGTAAAAAAAATATTTATTAAAAGCTTCTTTCTTTGCACATTTTTATTGACAGCATTATCATAATAGGCTGTATATTAACGTATTGACAGAAAACCAGTAGTTCTATGTGAAATCAGACATTGAGCACACTCATATAGCCAAAATGACATAATCCTCGTTTAATAACACATCTGCGAAGATTCGACCGTGAGATTGGTAGTCGAATCAGGCTCCTCCTATCGAAGCATCGAATCTTCGACTATTCGGGGTCACCCCTACTAAAAATGGCTCTAATGTGACTAAAACATGACGAGACGTTTTCGAGTTTTCGTTGACAAGACGAGACTGAACGAAAATGACTATAAGTCTGGCGTTCGCAATGCATGTCATTTCTGCCTATTTTGCGTGAAATCTGCCTGTTTTGAGCTAAAAAAGTATCAGCAATGGTGCCGCTTCCTATCATTGTTTTGGGTACCCATGCCGCGCGCGCACCAGATTCCACACAACAACACACTGCGGCTGCGGCTAGTCACTCACCACACATCTTCGAAGGACCATGGCGGCGAAGCCAATAAACGGGCTTGGTGGTCGGAAACGACGAGATATGATTTATGGACATACTTTCAGTTTCAGTATAATCCAGCGGTTCTCAAAGTGTGGGGTGCGCCCCACTGGCGTAACAGGTCTCCTCCAAAACGGGAGGAAATTTTCCGTTTTATGCCTTTTTATCTTTATTCGTTCATGCCGAGTCCGCATCGTCAAAATCATCTTTGCAGCGACACCGAAAACACCAGTTTATTAATAAACAATTAAATGTCTCCTTGCTATTTTTTTTACAGATTCATAATCATTACTTTTGCCGGTTCTTTGTGACAAGCTTTATGCGTGCGGTCGTGCGCTTGAGTGCGGCTATAACGCTCAATATCCCGTATAGCCTATTTAAGTAATTAAATTAATATAAAGGGGCGATTTGTCCACTATGGCTTAAATGAACAACTACTAGTCGACTAGAATAAAGACTTTAGTCGGAGGCAGCTCTTATTCCACATATTCTCGAACCAGCAGGCCATTCTGTGTTGAGCGCGCGAGCCTGAGCTGAATGAGCGAGCGGAGGGATATTGAGAAATGCGCTCTCCGCTCACATGCTCTGATCGGAACAAAGGAATATTAAAGTAATTAATCATTAGTTTATATCTTATACACTGCCCATACACTACCCATCATTTTAATCCAATATCAAACACAGTATGTTATGTCTATTTTATCTATTTAAAAAATATATAGGCCTATATATCACGTTTTTAAGTAGGCTAAAGCCAGAGAGCTGTGTGCTTCTTCTTCCCTTTGCCACATCATATCTCTGTGAGATGGGCTTTCAGCTGTTTCAGTTTCACTGAAAACAAAGTACAGATCTCAGCTGAACATTGAGCATGACTTTTGAGAAATTGTGCAATTCAAAACAGGCTCATTGCAGCCACTAATGCAGGGATAAATAGATTAAATAGATAAATAGATCAATAGAATAGCCAAATGGATTTCTATTCTTTTCTTTTTTAACAGATTGCAAAGTGGCACTTATATTTCTTTTCTATTTTTGAACTTGATACCAATTTTGACACAGCCGCATTTTATTTTCTCTATTTTTTAAAGACTTTTTTTTTTTTTTACTAAAATTGACTAAAACTTGATTAAAACCTTTTTGCGTTTTCGGCGACTAAAACTATCAAGTTTTTAAGTGACTAAAATGTGACTAAAACTAAAAACCATTTTCGTCCAAAAGACTAAAACTAAGGCTAAAACTAAAAGGGCTGCCAAAAACAACACTGGACAACAACATATTTTACTGATCATTAAATACGTGTTTGAAACGAACAATGATGGATTTTGGTGCAATTTGTTTCGAATTGGGGCTGGGGAATCCCCGGGTGAACGTGTATTGCGTGCAAAACAGTAAAAACTTGAACTTGAGACAGATATGGAGTCGGCAAATTACAAACACAAAAGTGAATTTCAAAAGCACAAACAAAAAGAGGAATTCGACAAATAAATTAATAAATTACCAAAACTAGGAAGCTTCTTTAAAAAGATGACACAGGAGGGGGAGATCGACATTGAGATGGAGCAAGAGAGTGAAGCGACTTGCCATACTGTCAATTGAGAATGCCCGTGCGCGCCATCTGGATCTTAAGGATTTAATCGACAACTTCGCACAGAGGAAAGCCCGGAAAATGCTGTTATAATGCAAGTGAGCATCTTTTTTTATATATTTGGACCTAGGCCTATGTGTGTGTAGTCATAGCAGTGGGGCGATTCCACAGTTTCGGTCCACAAGGGGTGTGATGAACAATATATATTGAATAATACCCAGTTGTTGTCATTTTTTATTTTTAGTTCACCATTTTGTTAAAGATAGATGTAAGAAATAATAAAGTTACTTTTATCCCACTAAGCCTTGGCATTATCGTGTAATGAGACTTTATTTTATTTCCGTCCCCAGAAATTGCGGATGTCAGGGTGGGACATTCAGTGCATCTGGATTTTTCCTAAGTCATTTCTTTCATTTCCTTTAATAAAATCCTGAATTTTGGCGCATAACATTTATTTTGGTGCGTCTTCTACAAAATACTACTGCTAACACTTAAAGTATAATTCCCTTAATCTACCACGATGCAATGGAAACATTTACTAACGTTCGTTACACTTTCTGTCCAAGCAGTTACGCACGTTAAAATATGAAAGGAAGTTCTAAATAGAATGAAATTCTAAAGGAAGCGGAGATATACATTTTCCATGTAATTCTATCAGTAGCATAACGATAAAAACATCTTGTGTGGGTTAAATTCTCATATGCGCTGCTACATGATAAACTGTTAATAAATCGGGACGAAACAGGGGCCGAGATTTTCTGTCAAAAAATCATACCGCTCGAACATTTTATTCTGACGCTGAATTTCCATCTCCTAACGTTTCAACGGTTCTCCTGTCAGAAATAAGATTGTCTAGGTCATGGTCGCTCTGCGTGGGAGGAAGAGTTAAAAGGATTTCACGGATTTCGACGAATGTGGGTAAGTTTGTGGATTCTGTCCAAAAGTTTACGAACGTTAAAATGTTACGAACGTGGTAAACTTTTGTTAAGTAAACATTAAATAGGATCGTTGTGGTGAGAAAGGATAAAAAGTGTGCAAGTCGGATGATTGCGAGTGGTTTCGGACCGAAAGCGTCGTTCTCCGTGAAAGAACATGCATGAATGGTGGTTTTATACATTTTGACAGATTCTGCACATCTTGTTCGTAAATTAGACGGAAATTTTCAGTCTGTCCAACTTCCAACGTTGTTTTCGGCGTATTTTTGACTCAATAAGCTGTTCATTAAAAATTCAACAACGTCAATGACATTTTTCTGTTTTTGTTTTTTTTGACAATTTTTTTTTTCTCTCCAATGTTCGTAAGAATATAGCTTAGGCTGACGAAGTTAACACGTTAATAGTGCGTTAACACAATCTGTACGATCTTTAAATTTGATAGTTTGATAACAGGTTATTTTAATGTGTTATGAACTTGTTCTATTCTTTGCCAGTTTTCATGAAATGGTATTATTTTGTGTTACAGAGGCAATCTTGCAGGATTGTTTAATTTTTTCCGTCCACGTTACGCACGTTATAACTTAGCACACTTGTAGGAGTTCCTTTGTCTTCAACATTTGGCAAATAAATTTGAAAAATATACCTGTGGTATTTGTTAGTCATTTTGCTGGCTTTCAGTTAATGAACATACCAGACTCAAAATGCACCTTCAAGTTTATAGAACAGATAATATTAGATGGCCACCCTGCCGCAATGGATGTCCTATTAACAGTTTTGTGAACCATACACAATGCATGACTCATAACTATACCAAATTAGGAACAAAGCAAAACATGAACTGGGATTCAACCAGAATTTTATTAAACTGAATTAGATTAAGTACACTTTTTGCTTGAACTTACACTGTTTTTCTGTCCATGTTAAATACATTAAATTTGACATCAACTCAACTTTGATCAAAGTTTACTAGTTTACCATTGCCAGATTTATCCTGCCTTTCACACAGCTGTACCCCAGGTTTTCTCAGGATGTTAACCTGAGGAGAATGGCTTTCTCCATGAAGATTGATTTAGCAGGCTGTTGTCCTTGCAGTTAGACCTAAACTGTGGAATCACCCAGTGAGTAACAATGTGTCATGGTGCGCCGTCACCAGCAGTGTGGTTTTTTTATGTTGCAGTCACCGGTTTTTTGGGGGGTTTTTGGTGTGCGTAGGCCACTCCTGATTTTGTCAGTCATCTCACCTCTTATATGCTGCCTGTGTCTCTATGATCCTATCCTGTCCTATTCATGTTAGCCTACTCGAAGACATTGCGTCATCACGTGCTTGCCTTGATAATCCTGCATAAGGGTGTTGGCTCGTTACGCCACTGGTCTGGAGCAACTTACTATTTTTGCTCCTAAAATCAACAACAATCTCCTTGGTTTTTGGGATGTTGAGGGACAAGTTGTTAATTGAGCACCACTCAGCCAGCAAGGACACTTCTGTTTAACAGTGGTATCATCTGCAAATTTACAAATCTTGACTGAATCATGGTGAGAAAAACAGTCATTCATTGGTATAAAATGAGTACAAGGATTGTAATTGACAACTCATCTATTAAATATTTACCATCGTTAGGGCTGGGTATCGTAACAAAATGTTCGGTACCGATACCGATACCGATACCTTGACTTCGATACCGGTTCCTGAACGATACTTTTTTCGATACCAATTTTATGTAACCAGGTTTAACAATATAACATTACCTAATTTTTATTTCAGTTTGTTGACTTTTTTACACTCATATTTTGAGTATGTAAAAAAGCACCAATGCTAAAGTTTTCTATGTTTCCTAATCATTTAACAACATGTATTCTTTACTTCAATGAGCTCATTGTTTCTGCTTTAACTTAATGCATTAATTAACGATGAAACTGAATGAAAATTAATTGAAATGCATTACACTGTCACCTCTGATAACAGATCACTCTAAATTGTAATTTAGACATGCATTTTCTGTAAAGCTGCTTTGAAACGATATGTATTGTGAAAAATGCTATACAAATAAATGTGAATTAAATTAAATATAGGCTACTGGGGGGCGGGATATATACCTGCACGTGAAGCTTGCAGCAAAGCACTGGCAAAAGTAGCCTAATGATTATGGATGTGGAAACAATAGCAAGGAGATATTTTAATTGTTTATTAATGAACAAGTGTTTACTAATGGTGTGTTCACACCGAACGCGAATTTAATTATTTGTGCGAGTAGATTACATACATAGTCAATGCAAAGACGCGAATAGACGCATCATTCGCGCCGGGCGTCGCGAGTGACGCGCACGTTTGCCGCGAACGTCTTCCGCGCAAGTTGAAAAATTTGAACTCGAGCTGAAGATTCAAGCGTCGAACTAGACGCGATAGACGCGTATTTGACGCTCTATTCGCGTTCGATGTGAACACCATTACTCTCAAGTGTATTCTGTGCGCTTCAGTGCCTAGATTTACCGTGTTGCCGGTCGATCTTGGCAGCAATGATCTTGTCAAAAATATTGCATCGCGTGCATCTGGCATCGAGTCTGGCACATGACATAGGTACACTTTGGATCATTTCCACATATTTTCTATCTATCTGGGTTGGGACGCACGCTTACACACACACACACACACACACACACTGCAGCCTCACGTGCGACGAGCCGCGTCTCTGGGCAGCCGCGTAAACTAGTGTTTTTCCGCCACAGCCAATCATGCTGCATGCTTATTGTTTCACTGACGTTGACGAGATTAACCACTTAGGTACCGAAATGTGGTACCGAAAAACAAGACATGTTTCGATACTCGGTAGTATCGAGGCAATTCGGTCGGAACCTAAAAAGTACCGAACTCGGTACCCAGCCCTAACCATCGTATATTGTGCATAATTGGATGTTTTTAAATAAAAACTACACAAGTTTTAGTGCTGGACGATATGATGATATATATAACATCGATATAAGTGATCACATGGATTTAGACCTATATTGGTCTAACATTTTCAGATTTCGATGAAAGCTCCTTGCATGGGTTTCTTATTCGCCACTGTAACGTGCGCTAGCAAAAGTAAACGGGTCAATCTTGATTTCATGGCGACTTTAATTGACATTTGTGATTTCCATGAAACCAGTTAATTAAGATGTTCTCAGGTAAAGCACGTTATCTGAAAAACTATAGAACATGAACTGTAAAAACAAAAGTATTCACTGTTTCCTGCAACTGTAATTCCTGCTAATGTATTTACGCCGTCTCTATGCATTAAATGTTTTTGAGACGTGGATTTGGATTTTAAACCATATTTGATGCTTCAGCTCCACTCCTCTGTGTTGAACACACATGTTTAGCATTAAATTGTGATAATTAAGATAATTTAGTTACGGTATGGGTGGAAATCATTAAAGACGATCATTAATTCAGTTTAAAAAAAAAAACAAATTTTAAGGAAAATACACTCAGAATTCATATTACGGGAAACCGAGTTAAAGACTTCAGGACGCCCTGGGAGACTACGGCTAGCAAATACGCTGGACACAAGCTTAGTGCTTACTTGTGAGTTTGGTCTGTTTCAAGTTCAAATCGATCTTCCCACGAACACCTAAAGTGCACGAGTGAAGCAGAGGCGGAGTGTGTGGAGGACGTCCTCATAAAAAAATGCTCGTTGCTGTTGAAGTGTGATGTTTGATAATGTGTGTAGACCCTGAGATATGATTCACTGAGTCTCAGAGTCTCTCACCTGTATATATATAATAATGTGATATGATTGTCTGAGAGTCTCTCACCTGTATATATAATAATGTGATATGATTGTCTGAGAGTATCTCACCTGTATATATAATAATGTGATATGATTGTCTGAGAGTCTCTCACCTGTATATATATAATAATGTGATATGATTGTCTGAGAGTCTCTCACCTGTATATATAATAATGTGATATGATTGTCTGAGAGTATCTCACCTGTATATATAATAATGTGATATGATTGTCTGAGAGTCTCTCACCTGTATATATATAATAATGTGATATGATTGTCTGAGAGTCTCTCACCTGTATATATAATAATGTGATATGATTGTCTGAGAGTATCTCACCTGTATATATAATAATGTGATATGATTGTCTGAGAGACTCACCTGAACTGCTGCAACACACTGTCCTGCGGCTCAGCCCTGTTCTCCAGCGCTCTCTGGTACACCAGCTCAGCCTGGGACAGCTGCCCTCTCTCCTCAAACTGATGCGCCCAGTCCAGGTACAGCGCCGCCGTCTGCGTGCCCACGCCGCGGCCGTGAAGATAACTGTACACCTCCGTCGGGTCGCTGTAGAAGCTGGCCTGCACAGAGAGAGGCAGGTGTGTGTTCATCTCACAGATCCTGAGCCTGAGTCTGACTGAGAGAGAGCGAGACTGGACCTACACTTCTGACGCAGTGCGAGACGTATCGCGGGTCGTTATGGTATCGCTCATCCTGAAGGAAGGTCTGAACGATGCGCTCCAGCACCACAGACAAACCCTTCCTCTCCTCCAGGGACAGCTTGCTCTCCAGAAACTGAACGAACCTGCCAAACCAGCCATGAGTGACGGACAGACAGGGGGTCATTTCATCATTACTATAATAAAGACTTTAAAGATGATCTTACTTATCCCAGGGGTCTAACGGGTCATCGCCAGCATAACTGCGCACGCTCAGCTCAAAGGCCCTGCAGTGATGAAGATGAAGAGCAGTGAACATCAACTGATACACATTAGAGACAATCACACCAATGATGATGAAGAGCAGTGACATCAACTGATACATTAGACTAGAGACAATCACACCGATGATGATAATGAAGAGCAGTGACATCAACTGATACATTAGTGACAATCACACCGATGATGATGATGAAGAGCAGTGACATCAACTGATACATTAGACTAGAGACAATCACACCGATGATGATAATGAAGAGCAGTGACATCAACTGATACATTAGTGACAATCACACCGATGATGATGATGATGATGAAGAGCAGTGACATCAACTGATACACATTAGAGACAATCACACCAATGATGATGAAGAGCAGTGACATCAACTGATACATTAGTGACAATCACACCGATGATGATGATGAAGAGCAGTGACATCAACTGATACACATTAGAGACAATCACACCGATGATGATGATGAAGAGCAGTGACATCAACTGATAAATTAGTGACAATCACACTAGATGATGACGTTTCACAAAGATAGAGCTGGTTTAATGCATTTCTCTCGTGTTATTAATCTTCTCTCGTGTTATTAATTTTCTCTCGTGGTTATTAATCTTCTCTCGTGTTATTAATTTTCTCTCGTGGTTATTAATCTTCTCTCGTGTTATTCATCTTCTCTGGTGTTATTAATGTTCTCTCGTGTTATTAATCTTCACACAGTAAACAGTTGAACACTATGAGTAGTGTGAGAAGCAGCCACGGATTCAAAGACTGTCATAAGTTTGCTGTCATAGTCTGCACGAGTGCAAAATGTGTTAGAAACACGACTAGCACAGAAAAGAAAGACACACAGATGTGTCATATAGAACAAAACATCATGATATTGTCAGAAACCATATGAAAACAAAAACAATAGCAGCTAAACGACCTGAATGGAACCTGAATCATGAACATAATCAGGCCGCTAAATTACTTACTGAAAATAAGAATTAATGTCCATTGTTTCTTCTTATTGAACACAAAAAGTCCGAAGCAAGATGTTTACGGCTAAGCGAGACTCATTTAAACCATATTAATAAAGATATCAATCGCTAATAACTCTGCTAACTAGCGCCGCTCTGCTAACTGCATTTTGGCAACAACAAACGTTTTCAAATTTCCTGCTAAGCCAATCATTAGCCTTCATGTCGCTCAATAGCCAATCAGAGTCCGACAAAACAACGCGTCACGTTTTACCACTGGTCTGTGTCAACGGGCGGGGCTACATTAATATTCATGAGTTTCCCGTTTCTTAAGTCACTCTGAATGAAAAAGCTGAAAGGTGTCGTGCCGAAAAGTGATCTTGTGCCATAAACTGATTGCTGTCCGCGGGAGCGCGCACAGCGTGTTAAAGCCATAGATATCCATAATAAAGTATATTATTATGGATATCTATGGTTAAAGTTGTATCGCCCCAGTTTCTACACGTCTAGCTTCTTTTATCAGGAACAAATGACCATAACCTGCAAATAGACATACCATTTTGTCCGTGGTAAATTACTTAATTTCATTCATGGTTTTTATATTTGACAGATTATATCTTATCCAGTCATTTTACCTCTTGCAATGCCTTTAAACGGCAAATTAGACCAGTAACATGTAGTTTTACACTTGCCAAAAAGTGATTGAAAGCCTCTACTTATTGAGTGAACTGTTCTTTCTGCCTAAAAATGACGGCTTCATTCACGAGGGACAGATTGTAGTGTAAGTGTGTATACACTCATTTTACCTGATGAAATACCTTTTAAATGGACAATACAACCTAGAAAATGCCGTTTTACACTCGCCAGAAAGTGATTTACAGCCTCTAGGCTACTTATTGAGTAAACTGTTCTTTTTGCCTCAAAATGATTTGATTACACCTATAAGCAGTGGTTAAATTGGCTTTTATAGGGAGGGTTTACGGTGGGTTTACCCTTGTTTACGGTGAATGGTCGTCATTCAAAATTACTTAATGCAGACATCCCAAGTCTCCCGGAAGTTCCGGGAGTCTCCCGCATATTGCTAGCGTCTCCCTGATGCCCGCAAATTAGTTCAAATCTCCCGGAATCTAGAGCGAGATAGAACATACTGCACGCAGAGCCGTTGAAAAACTCATATTTAACGGCTCTGACTGCGCGCATAGTCGCGCATGACATCTCCGTGCGCAGAGAGCGAGAGACCTTGCGAGTGTGCCTAACCCTAACCTAGTCAACCCGACACCACCCCCCCCCCCCCCCCCCCCCCCCCCGGTCGACTGCCCCCCCGCCGCCAGTCACCAAGATATACCTCCCTGAAATGACTTCTTGCAGGTTGGGAAGTCTGTTAATGTGTTTTACACCAAAGAGGCTCAGTCTTTTTCCAGTATTAATGTGTAAGGTAGGGTTGAGTACTAATTTAAACAAAGAGAAATACTTTACAATTCACTTCTTTTTTCTTTTTTACCTTTAATGTTAGACAGGCAACGGATTTCACCCTCTGAAAATGTATGAAATTGAACATGTTTGAAAATATTGGTTGGCATCTTTTAAAACAAGAAAATTATGTTGATTTAAAAGAATCAGGGCCAACTTCTTTGGCAGTTTGTTGTTTGATTTAATCACACCGACATGCAGGGCTGTACAGGGGTTTTTCTGAATAAAAGTTCCCAAAAATTATCTTGCTAGGGGGGTTCCCTTTCGAGAGGTCTCTCCTATTGCGTAAGTAGCTTACGCTATGGGAAAACTCCTTTTCTCGAGAAATATTGAAGTCTTTATGTAAAACGCATTGCAGCTGCACAGCAGACAGCAATGAGCGAGGCAGCTCGGTCATTGGCTGTGCTGCGGCAACTTGCTCGAACCAATGACGGGGCGACTCTGAACGCGCGACCAATGAGCGCACTTCGCGCCTGCACGTGTCAGAGCCCGCCAAGATGGGCATGGCCAAGAGCTATATATTGGGCGCCCCGTCATGAGAGTTCTTTAGATTTAATCTCCTTCAGCGAACACCTTCTTCGCTGGATCCTCCGGATTATTGAAAGTCTTCGCCGCCGTAGAAAAGCACACCAGCGGGATTGCTACGAGGACGTCGGCACCATCAGCCGCCTACGAACGCCATCCTACTGAGCCATCCGGCGCGCTTCGCACGCAAGTATCCTTTTACAGCTGTTCGCCCTGCGACTTTTGTAAAAGAGCAAATTTCTGAGGCGTTGTTTCAAATGCCCTCCTGCGCGTCGTGTAGAGGCCCTCTCCCGGACGGGGATCGTCATATCATCTGCGCTCGCTGCCTGGGCCGGGACCATGCAGAAGCTGCCTTGACCAAGGGCGGATGCCCTAAATGTGACGACCTGGGTCACTCCACACTGCGCGCTCGCCTCGCCGCCTTCGCCGTGAGCGAGCCCACCGCCACCATTCCTCTATTTGAGCCGTGCAAAAAGAAGCGCCGCTCACAGAGGCTTCCTGAACCTGAGCTCAGTGACGTCACGCCGAGCCAGTCTCCGCGTGCTTCACCGCCGCTCTTGACTTCCCCTCCGCCGGTTCAGTTCACTCAGCCAGACCAACACCCCTCCAACAGAGCGGTGGGCCTTGTGACTTTCGGCGCGTCCGAGGACGACGGGGGAGGAGATGACAGCTTATCCATCGACGCTGTATCTGATGACTGGCCGGGCTCCGCTTTCGACCCCGCGCCGTCGACGCTAGCGAGCACGAGTGGGGGCTACTCTATGGACACGGAGATTGTTCGCGTCCTCTCAAAGGAAGAGCCAACCCGAAGCCGACTGGACGAGTGGTTTCTGCAGGGGCGTCAACAGGCCCCTCGGCAAAGGCCTTCTCCTTTCTTCCCGGAAGTACATGACGAACTCACCAAGTCATGGAAAGGCCCCGTACTCTGCACGCTTGAAGCCTTCTTTTTCTTCCTCGCTCTCCTGTGTGGACGGCGCGAAGGAAAGAGGCTACGAGGGAACGCCGCCCCTCGAGGAGGCCGTGGCCAATCATCTCTGCCCGCCCTCCACCACCGGATGGAAAGCCAAGGCTTCCCACCCCTCGAAGCCCTGCCGCACTACTTCTGCTCTCGCCGGTCGCGCTTACGCCGCCGCCGGTCAAGCAGCGTCGGCACTTCATTCAATGGCGGTACTTCAAGTGTTCCAAGCCAAGCTTCTCCGCTCCATGGACGAGTCTGGCCCCGAACCCGAAGCCTTCAAGGACCTACGCAGCGCAACTGACATAGCCCTGCGAGCCATGAAGGCCACCGCACAGTCTATTGGCTGCGCCATGGCTAATTTGACTGTTCTCAGAGCGCCATTTGTGGCTGACTTTGACGGAGATGAAGGACGCAGATAAGGCCCCCTTCCTCGACGCGCCTATCTCCACCAGCGGGCTGTTTGGACCGGCAGTTAAAGGTTTCGCCGAGTGCATCACTGAAGCCCAGAATGCTTCACAGGCTATGCGCCATTTTCTGCCCAAGCGCTCCAGCTCATCACAGAGCAGACAGAGACCGTCTCAGCCGCAGCGGGCCAGAACAGCCCCCACCGCCTCTCAGCCACAAACTGACGCTTGACGCCGCTCGCGCTCCCACAGCCGCAAGCCGCCTCCTGAGCGACGGGGACCTCGGCCCAAGATTGCGCTGAACACTGAGCCTCGTAAGCCTTCCTAGCCATAGGAAGAAAAAGAGAGAGTGTGTGTCTCGCAAAAGCCGGACCACTCTCTCTACAAAGTCACAAGCATTACCCAGTCCCCTCACAGGCGGCTGGAAATGTCCATACAGCAGCCAATGGGCCAGTCACAGAGCTCGCTCACCTGCAAACAAACGCCGTTTTTACGGCGACACACAGAAATCACAAAAAGAGTCATTTTCTGCCTGTGTCACTAAGGGTTCACATGTCCACAAAGTGTGCATTCCCAAATACTGTCAAAACAGTGCCAAATTCATTCCCAGCTCAGGCTGGACGCCCCATAAATGTAGATCACGTGCCTACGGTCATGTACGCACCACTACACACAAGCACTGTTCACACGGTTATAAATTCATCCCCAGTAAAAGCGGGAAACATTATGAAAGTGACGAGTGTGCCTACCACTGTTTATGCACCCCCACTTATAAGCACTGTTCATACAGTGTCAAACCCAGCCCCAGCTCGGGCTATGAGCGTTACAGACACAGCCTCTGAGAGCTGCGAGCTCAGGCGATTCACCGGCCGGGTCCCTACGTCACAGCGGCCCGCCCCTAGCCTGTATTCAGCCCATATCTGCGCATGCAGCGGCATGGGAAAACATTCCAGATATGCCGAAATGGGTGTTGAACATAATAAAACAAGGATACTCGCTCCAGTTCGCTCGCAGACCACCACGTTTTATGACTGTGGTCGAGACGAAAGTGAGAAAGGAGTGTTCACATGTTTTACGCACCGAGGTGCGCAAATTAATAGAAAAGGGCGCTGTGGAAACTGTTTCCCCCTCAATGAGCGAGGCAGGTTTTTACAGTCGCTATTTTCTCGTCCCGAAGAAGGATGGCGGTCTCCGCCCCATCCTAGATCTCAGACACCTGAACAAAGCACTAATGATTCGCTCGTTCAGAATGTTGACAACCAAACATATCCTCGCGCAAGTACGCCCAAGAGATTGGTTTCTCTCAGTGGATCTGAAAGATGCTTACTTTCACATTCCAATAGCGCCTCATCACAGGCCTTTTCTGAGATTCGCTTTCGAGGGACAGTCCTACCAGTACACAGTACTTCCGTTCAGCCTGTCCCTGGCACCCCGTGCATTCACGAAATGTATGGACGCAGCACTTTCCCCCTTGAGGCGGCAGGGAGTGCGAATACTGAATTATCTCGACGATTGGCTGGTCCTAGCACAATCAGAGAGTCAGTTGATAACACACAGATCTTGGATTATCAGCCATCTAGAATGCCTGGGTCTAAGAATCAATTTTGCAAAAAGGATGCTATCTCCCAGCCAGAAGATTTCTTTCCTGTTTTGAAGGCCAAAAAAATGGACAACATTAGCTTTAAAAGCATGTCAGTGCTCAGTAGCATGAAGTAGCTAGGCCTATTTTATCAGATAACAGATCCTTTAACATGAGAATTAGTTTGAATTAGTTTAAATGTCGCAATGAGTGATCCACACTATAAAATGGACATGCAGAATGTTTATGCATATTGTTGACAATACAC